AATCCATATTTGATTCAACAAATGGAGACTTCAAATCAACCCTCTGAAAACGGAAATGATAATTTTCAATCATACCCCATCCATCAATTCTCCCACCATCATTATCAATAATCATCAGATTCATCCACGCTCCACTGTGAAATATCTGGGTATCCATCTTGACCATAAGCTGAATTTTAATCACCACACAGCAATGGCAAAAAATAAAGTTGAAGCAAGAGCAAAGCATATACATAACATATAGAGACCATGGCATCAACATCAGCACTGCAAGTAGAATATACAAATCAATCGGCATACCAATATTAGAATATGGCCACCCACTATATCTGAACATTCAAAACCCAGCTATGAAGAACCTGCAAATCGCCGAAACCTACGCACTTAGAACCATCACTAGAATGTGTCACCCAGACAATGTGCTACACAACCCACCCAATGATCTGCTATATTTCACGACCAAGGTGCAGAAGATACAGGATAGACTACCAACACTGTTAAAAAAAATTGCCTCCAAACCCCAGAAAATGAATCTGATGACTCCACCGATAATGGAAAGGACCAAGAAACAAATTTCCAGAAAAGTCTCTAATAACGATACTCCATGATCTAACTGACTCCATGACTTACCTGAAATCATCTTGTTTTTTTTTTTCAACAACTGTTGTCACTTTTCAATCCATTCAAAGGAGATAACATTTTAAGAAGAGATAAGACCATATTGGCTGAAGGACTCAGGTCGATGGCCATGATTGTATTGTATATTTCTGTACATTTACATATATGATCAATGAAGTACTTTATTACAGGGTTGGCACGAAATAATTCATATGAATCAAGTCAGTGATTCAATTCGTGAATTAATTCAAATGACTTTTTTCAAATAAGTCGTGAATTAATTCAAAATTTATCAAATGGGAACAAATCGCATGATTACCTTCAATTTAAACTAGTTTAAAATGAAATATCCAATGGCATCTGACAACTGACAACCATAAAGCACCACACGCGGAAAACAAAACTTTACTGTTTACAATATTTCATTGCATGCAATTGATTGCTCCAATTCATATTTCCGGCAAAAATAATATGCTTTTCAACACTGAATCGGAATTACCGGCTTGCAATGTCTTTTTGTCATAGATTCTGTGTATTACTTTTCACCGAGTTTTGAGTTGGGTCAAGAGTTGGGTAGAAGAAACCATGAGAAAGGCAAGAAAAGTAAGATCCAATGTGTATCTAATGATGCGTGAAATTCTGAAAATCTAACATGTCACCACTAGAATTGCACCAGTAATACGAATTACCACAATATAAATAAATATGTCCGGACTCATTTCTTGCAATGCATCGAAAAATTGCTTTCCAAGGTGCCACCAATCCGTAGGCGCGCCATGGATATTGCTGCATTTTATTGAAAATAACTGTAAAGCACCTCTATAATGAAGATTGTGAATGAGTAATATAATTTGCATAAATATCATTTATCATTCAATCAATAGTCTCAGTTTATATTGCAAAAATTGCATATTTTAAGTATTTTATTGTCACGCTCTGAGATTTTTAACAGAAATAAAAACTTAATTTTTTCGATGTTCTTGTATTTTGTTCAAGTAAATAGAATTTGATTTGTTCTCAAATGAATTAATTCAAAAAAGTCCGAATTAATTCAAAAACTCTGACTTTTTTATAAAACTCATGACTTATTCCAACCCTGCTTTATTATTATTATTATTCAATATATAAAGTAAAATTATATTCACATATAATCTATGAATTTGAAAGAACCAACTCCATTTGTAATGCAGAAAAAAATGTAAATTCGTACAAGAATATATTAATTTGGAAAAAAAAACAAGGAAAATTCAGAATAAGTAAAAAACCGCTCCTTAGGATTGAAATTGAATTCACTGTCAGAAGACTTGACATAAGACAACACATGCAATATTGATGAATCATGTTGATTTCAAAGACAACAATTCTTGATTAATTCTGATGTGGACGTGACTGATTTGAATTGTGAATAATTCTCGTTGTATGTACCTTCTGTACCTTCTGACATTGACTCTATTTGTTCTTTGAAATTCCCTGGCAGACATTCCCTCTTTTGAACAACTCAATGTTATTTCAAGGCATTTTTATGCATAGAATATAGAGTTTTTAGCAGACTTATGTGTAGAGAATATCGTTAACAAGTCTGTCTTCATAAAGAAATGTATATCTCAATTTCTGAAAATACATGACATTTCTTCTTTCTTTCTGTCATTCAGTCTCTTCCTGTGATATCTTCTTCTTTGTCAATGTAAGAATTGGTCATAAAGTTCCACATTGAGAGTGAAGAATCATAAAGTTTGCTCAAGTCTTTCCATAACTTGGTTTTCTATCTGTTCAAATATGCAACATAAGTTTTTCGAATATTCTTGATAAAACAGGCCCCAGCCTCTAAAGCTATCCGAAAAAAGTTTAGGATTTGTTACATTGCTTTGACATTGACCTCAAGTTTTAGTAGGGCCAACTGGTGAGACTGAAAATATTAGCCCTCATTGGAATTATATTATTGAAACGACCTGAGTTCTCAATATGTAAATGGAACTTTCAGCAAGACAATTAGATCTGGGATAATTAAACCTAGATGAGATGTTTCGTATGCCGTTCTATCTATGGTGAGCAAAAAATGATTTCAAACATTACTTGAGCTCAATTAGTTTGATATTTGATGAAAGCATCAAGTGTTGGCTCATGAGCTAAAATTGACCACAAATGCTTGATGGATTTCAATCAGTTCCAACCATTTTATTTACTGTAGGTGATAATATACCCTTCCTCATCTTGTGATGTAGGTAAAATTCATATCAATGTACAAATAGTAACAATGCCAATTATTCAATGTGTTGTGCTGTATTTGTATGTTTTGAAAAGTCTGGAACACCTCATATCCATCAAATATTATTTACATACTCCAAATTGGTAAAAACCTCTTCACCATGCACAGAAAGACTAATAAATACTGAGAATGTTTATTTTTTCTAGGAACAGTACCACTTCATATTCAAATATGTAGTAATTGACGTAAATTAGATACTGACAAACAAACATTGGGGCTCACATTGAGAATGTTGAAAATGATGAGAATTTAATAAAATGGCAACTGAGATGTTAAATAACCATATATTATGAACAAAACATCATTACTGATTTGTTTGTTATCAAAATATTTGCTCTATAGTAAGCACTGGAAAGGATATTAAAAAGTGACTGGAATATCAAAAGGTACTGTAAAAGTGATGATATTGATAATACCCAAGGCATTAAAGATTATGAAAACTCATATTTTATTTATATACTTCAAAAAATTTATTTTAACACTGTATTTTTTAGAATGCGTTATATTCTAGATTATGTTACTAAGCAAGAAAATAATCAATGGTGAAGTGATCTTTAAAAAATTTTAAAAGTCCCCAATTACACAACTGAATGGTAATCAATTACTTACTGAAATCAAGATTGTTAATCTAATCAAATGATATTTATTGATTAAACAGCACACCCCATAATTTCCCTTTGTAGAATATCTTGATTGGAAAAAGTCATGAAAACAATTGATTAGTTGTAAGTTAATCTTCAGAAAAAAAACAATATATGCTGAAAATTGCTTCTATAGGAAAACTACTGGCAGATTGAGAAGATCCGATCAACTCAAACAATGTGCAAGCATTAAAAACCATCTAATGAAACCATAATACAATTCTTTATATATTTTTTTCAGTAGGATGTAGTGATTTCACAGCACATCTGTTTGAACCCCATAATTGTGAACATTCATGTAAACATGGAATGCAGAAATCCCTGCAGAAATTAACTTATTGCAGAACTAGGATGATTTAGGATATTAAATATGTACTCTTAAAAACTACCTCCAAAGCTAGCAGAACCACCTTGGATTTTTCATTGGGCCATAATTTATGGCTCTAATCTTAGCCTATTGCTGATTTTCTTGTACAATCATGAGTTTTGCTAGCTAAACCAATAAGCTAGCAGAACCAAATCTCAAATAGAAGGAATACAAGAATATTGAGTACACCATAATTTAAGACAAATTCAAGGCTCTTCATTGAACCTATTATAAATTCTAGCAAAACCCATGTTAAAAAAAATATCTCTGGAAAATTCGGCAATAGGCTAGGATTACAGCCTCAAATTCCAATTGAATTATGATAATTAGTTTTGTAATTCAACTTACATTTTCAAAGCTTAACAGTAAGCTAGCAGAACCCATGTTCTTTTGCATATATTGGGGAACAATAAATTCGGAAATATGGTAATAAGTTAGCCTTAAATTATGGCCAAAGCAAAAATGAAAAATCTAAAGTGGTTCTGCTAGTTTAATGGGGGTTTAAAATCTTACTTATTGAGAGAATAATACAGAGATACTGAAACCTCAAGTTTCTGATAGGAGTAATTGAATGGCTCTAAAATGAGAACTAAAAGTGCTTCTTTGTAGCATTTTCAATTCATCTACATTTTTACCAGTATATACATGAAATTTCAGTTGGAATATTTTTTAAACTGTAATTTCATCCAACAAACACAAATTTCATAATAAAATTCAGTCATTTTCTAGACAAAAATACATGGACATAAATAGAAATTATCAAATTTACATTACATGATGAGTGTTAATTCACCATTACCTTGCCTAATAAGAAAAGATCAACTTTATATTGTTTCAAGTACTTCTTGACTTAATCAAAAACTCCAAATATACATTGTGAGGTGGAAATATGTGAAATAAATGTTATGTATTTCATGTATGTGTTGGCTCAATAAAAGCATTCACATTTACTATTATCATTAATTACAGTTTTGCTGTTCTGATGAGGTGTTCAAAACTTATCAACAAAACATAAACAAAACTTCATTGCAAGTGAATAAACAATATATAAAAATTCAACATTCACTAGCCATATGAAAGATAAGTAATCCAACATATGAATGCATACCTGTGCCGTCCACCACGCCTATTCCTGGTACAGTCACGGGCATAATGCCCCCTGTCTCCACACTCATAGCAACGGTCTTCAGGATGGAAAGGCTTGCCACGAGATCTTGGAGGAGGTCCTCTGTATCTGCCCACACTTTTACCATTAGACATCTCTACCCTTGCTCTGCGTCCACATATTGTTCTTCCATCTTTAAAAGGTAAAAATGTTAGTGAACAAATTGTAGAAATATTAAAGAGCATACATTTCTCTACTCTTACTCTTCGACCACAGACTTTACGACCATCTAACAGATCAAAATAAAATGAAACTTAGTTAAATGTCACATAACATCATGATAGACAAATAGAAGTGAGTATAATATAGAAGAATGATTACCTAGTCCTCTAACAGAATCTTCCGCGTCTCTAGAATCCTCGAATTCCACGAAAGCAAAACCAGGAGGATTACGGGCTACCCAAACGTTTCTGAGAGGTCCATAGTACTTGAAAGCATCTTCTATTTCTTGTTTAGAAGCACTATTTCCTAAATCCCCGACATAGACTTTACAGTCTGAATAGCGGGACATTGCTCTCACTCACCCAACCTGAAAGTATGAAATGACTAGGAGGAATAGAAAAATATAAAATGAAAATGTCTATTGATTTTTCGCGTGACCTCGGAAAGCGTCACCCGGCATTTCAAGACTTTTGTTTGTGTTTGTACTCACTGAAGTAGGTACTCACCCACTTTTTTCATTCAACTATTCAGTTTTGTTGATCAGTAAATCAGTAAAACATTTAAAACTTAGCAAAATTACTCCGGTTCATCCCAAAAACAGATTATTGAAAACAAACCCAACCAAGCCACATCCAAACACGAAGTAAAGAAAGATGGCTTCTTCCTTTCGAAATCGCAAAGACGCAGTCACGGTTTGTTCGCGTTCAAGATATAAACGTACTAAACAGTCCGACACAACCAGGAGCATGCGCAGTTTCTCAGAACTGTACGATTTTTTCATGTTCCGTGAAACTGCGCATGCTTCTGATGGTTTCCTTTATGGGTTGCGTGCAAGAACTGTCAGATGACCGACGCTGGAGGCAAAACATTGAAACACAACGTCACTTTTCTTATTTGTTTACAAGTGATCGAAATAGTTTTCCACAATTATTATGGCATATGAATCGTATTTTTCCGCTTTATGCCATCACATTGTGCTGTTGTAAAATGCACAAAAACTGCAGCGGAAGATGAAGCAATCCGGATGGTACATTAAGTACCTACTATCACTCACATAGTTTTCATTTTTTAAATTTGGTCAGAGATAAGTTACCCACTTATGGGTAACTTATCTCTGGCCATATTATTTGGATGCCACGGAGGCCACAGATGATGGCTAGATATCTAGCCGCATCGTGGACGAGTATAGTGGAATGGAGGGTGGTGAATTTATATCGCTGCTTGTGGTGTAGTCAAGTATGGTAGGATTACGCGAATGATACATGATTTCTGGCAGAGTGAATTAGCACGAGATCGCAGTTGAAAGAGTTAATTATCAGTTGCCTCAGTCTCCGTCCGGCGTTTGGTATTTTCTTTTAACTATGGCGAGATGAGGTTTCTAAGTCATAAGAGGGTCCGTTTTCAGATGGTACTATTATTTATGTCCAAAAATTGAACATTCCAGTAAATTTTTCGACCGAATTATGTCGTCAATCATTATTTATGTATGAAAGGATCATTATAAACATGGTTTGAGTTAAAAGTTCTACCAAGGTGTACACGCCCATTATCTGCACTACACTTCTCACACCTTCAGATCGAGTGTAACACTCTGCTTTGGCGGTAACTTATCTCAAATCATCTTTGACAACGAGCACAGTGTGAGTGTACGCCTGAACGGTATCAGTCCCAATCTACTCTGGTGTACAATATTGTAGTCAGTGTTTGGTCAGTGGAGGCACAGCGAACAGACCTTGTCGATTGAGTGTGAATGACAATATGACAATGACAACATTGACGTCATTGACAACAAGTCAACATTGTCAACAAGGCAAACGAATTTGAAAAATAACCAAAATAAAAGTATCCCAAAATGACTACACAAAATTAAAAAATTAAATTTAGTGAACGATATATATTAAGGAGATACCAATGAGTGATGGTGGCCTTCATATTAATTTCATAATATATTTCGCAAGTATTCTCTTTGTTTATGGTTATATATTTATAAAAAAGCCTATTGCCCCCATATCTTTGAAACCTTATTCCATCATATTAATATTATCCAAATCATTAAGGTTGATATGAGGCAAAGTATTCGTTTTTCGTTTTTCCATCTAATAATATGGAAACATACTACAAAGCTCCTGCCTACTACTAATTAACTACCTAGGTTGTCATTTAGTATTATGGTCAAACCACAGTATACACCCTAATGTAGGTAGTTGTAAATTTTAAACAGGAATAACAGTTTCCAATCTGCCCTATCCCTATCTTATTGACCGATATGTTTAATATCATTAAACATTTCAAAATTCTCAATCATTTTGGATGAAATACTGGAATATTCTTAGTTTCGGCTGGGGTCAATTCAATTAGGTATTGTTATTGTATTATTTAGAATTCATTGTATTTTTCTGGTTTCAATGAAATTTGTACCTAAACATCTACATACTGTGGGTGACCCTGAAACAATTTTTCACCCTCTGTATCTTCCTTGCTATATTTTGAATGGATGTTTCAAATTTAATACATCAATTTGATTTCATGAGTGTATATAATTTCTCTAGTATCAGTCCTGTTTGACCAAAAATGCATCCAATTTTTTCATTTCATATGCAGTGTAATTTTTTCTGGAAATTATGATTCAGTATAAAATAACCTTTCTAATGATATATCACAATCAAACTTTCAAGCAACAATTTACTCATACTTATAGGTAAACTTCTATTCTATGATGGTTCCGAATTAAGATTCTTGACCACCCTGTATCTATTTCAATGAAGTATCAATTGATAGTACATGAAAAGTTGAGATGAGGACATGGAAACCGTTTTGACCAATTATGAATAGTTTGGACACAAAATATTCTTAAAGTTGAAAAATTTAGATTTTTCACACCCTATATCTTTGTTATTATTCCCGCTAGACCCCAAGTGTGATAGCAGAGATCAGGTGACTGATCTTTGGTGATAGATCGATGAAATCAGCTCTTCAGGGGAGAATCTGAAAATGGAATGATATACAGGGTGTTCCATTAAAAAAATCAAAGTTGTTGCTACTTTTCAATATAAGTGGAAACTTCGCGACGCTGAGAATATTTCAGGTCGATAGAACACAACTAAATATCCAAGGCAGCAACTTTCTAGAATAATCCTGATTTTGGGTTCTCCAGAAACGTATAATTTGCCATCCACCGTGAATCAGCCTGTATATACAGTGTGACCCATTTAAGATGGAAGCACCCTTATAAAACTTACATTTTTCAACCGATTGGAATGATTTTTTTTTTGTTAGGTAGATATTCAAAAAGTCTATTAGGACACCAAATATCATGAATAAATCTCCATTTCCAGGGCCAACTAATCTGATTTTTCAAGGTCAAAAATCTAAAAAAATTACTAGCGATTTTTTTAGAAAAAATCTGACTACACCACTGGATTTGTGACATTTTCAAATGGGTAATATGTAAATTACGTTGAAATGCGTCAATCAATAAAAAAGTTATAAAGGAATGAAATTTGAAAAATATGCCGTTTAATCAACCCATCAATTTTTATTACTGAACAGATTTCGATGAAACTGTGATCAGTAATATTTCAAGACATCCTGAATCCAGTGGAGTATACAGAATTTTCATAAAATTCCTGAACATGAATTGGTGGGTTGATTAAACGGCATATTTTTCAAATTTCATTCCTTTATAACTTTTTTATTGATTGACGCATTTCAACGTAATTTACATATTACCCATTTGAAAATGTCACAAATCCAGTGGTGTAGTCAGATTTTTTCTAAAAAAATCGCTAGTAATTTTTTTAGATTTTTGACCTTTAAAAATCAGATTAGTTGGCCCTGGAAATGGAGATTTATTCATGATATTTGGTGTCCTAATAGACTTTTTGAATATCTACCTAACAAAAAAAAATCATTCCAATCGGTTGAAAAATGTAAGTTTTATAAGGGTGCTTCCATCTTAAATGGGTCACACTGTATATTCGTATATATGGCTATGTATATTATTATGCCTTAGCTGATGGATTAGGAGAGTTGATTCCTCGTTAAGTTAACAGGGAGAGCTTTATGCAACCGCCGGCCCTTAAGGCACGTCTATTGTCTTTTTCAGTTTGACCGTCTTCTGATAACGAAATGGTATACAGTGTGACCCACTTCTAATGGAAACACCCCTGTATCTTATGTAATCGTTTGGTAGGAATCTTGATATTTGCTGGAGCGAGAGATATTCCAAAAATGCACTCTATGACCAAATGGGGTCATCTTCGGTGATATACACTGCTCGCCAAAAGCCCAATTTCAGGAAAATGATATTAGAAGTCAAATTATGTTGAAAATCACTCTGGATTCGGAATCAGGACGCCTCATTTACTAACTGAATTGAAAAATTGAATTTTGTCTCACTTCTCATGGACCCCCGTATCTCACGTAATTATTGAGGTAGGGTTCTGAAATTTTCAGGAGGAAGAGGAAGTCGAAAGATGAAGTCAATTACGTGAGATACGGGGGTGCTTCCGTAAAAAGTGCGACAAAATTTAATTTTTCAAAACTGAAAATTTTCCAGGAAAAATATGAATAGTTAGTGAATTGGGTGTCCTGATTCCGAGTCTGGAGTGATTTTCGACCTATTCTGACTACTAATACAATTTTCCGGAAATTTGGGTGGTTTCATGGCTGTTGGCAAGCAGTGTATATCACTGAAGATCACCCCACTTGGTCATAGTGTGCATTTTTGGTATATCTCTCGTCCGAGCAAATTTCAAGATCGATCCTTACCCAACGATTACGTAAGACACAGAAGTGTTTCCATTACAAGTGAGTCACACTATATACAGGGTGTTTCATTGGGAAAGGTAAATAATTCAACTGTGGATAGGGGTCACTGGGGTGATTTAAAAAAACCCATGGTTAATGGGTCTTCGACTTCATATTACCGAGATACAGGATGTTTCATCAATTTTGTCCATATCTTCATTGTCTCATAACTTTCCAACCAACCTGTATATATTTTTAAAAATTGGTACACTTGCTCAATCTACCCTGTGGAATTGATTGAGGCAACAACAAAAGATGAAATCCAGGTCCGGCTTCACTTAAAATTCACAAATTCTTTCAGCCAGAAAACAACACCCTATACATTCGAATTTCTAATTTTTTTTGCCATATCTGAAAAGAACATCAAAATTTCTATTCAACAATGTGCTTTTTATTCGTGCACAGACGATTTCAACTAATCATATTATGTGCTCAAAATATTATTCTTGCTCATTTTGGGGTACAAAATTGGAATCAGACGAGATTTATTAATTTTATTACTTCCTATTCAGTATACGTGAGTATTACATTCAGAAGGAGTATTTTATATCGTTCTTTGTTCCAGACTTAGTCGCAGGTCCGTCATCAAAACTATACAGGGCTTTTCACGATGAGCGTTAATTTGACGTTTTCGGCAAACCAGATAACGGATAAATCTGAAATTTCGATGGTATGTATAAATTAACATAATCTACACTACTGAAATATTTGAAATGATCCGGCCTTGCCGCTTCTACTAGAGAGTAGCAGCAACTTCGATTTTTCAAATGGGACACCCTGTATTTCATTACATTCTTGGATTCTTGCTGAACAGCAGAATTCATCGATTCAAAACATTCAAGGTCTAGCGGGACTGATAACTGAGATATAGGATGTGGAAAATCGAGATGTTTCAACTTTAGAAATGTTTTGTGTTGAAACTATTTATTATTGCATATGGTCGAAACGGCTTCAATGTCCCTATCACAACTTTCCATTCGATATTCAATTGAAACAGATACAGGGTGGTGCAGAAATCTGAATTATGAAACATCCTGTATTTGTTTCGATTAAATGTCAATAGAAACAAAGTTAAGATAGGGACATAAAAGCCGTTTTGATCAATAATAAATATTTTCGCAAAATAATTCTGAAGTTGAAACATCTCGATTTTTCTCACTCTAAATATCTCAGTTATTAGTCCCACTAGACCCCGAACTTTGTGATTCGATTAAATCACCTCTTCAGGAAGCATCCAGGGTGTCCCATTAAAAATCAAAGTTACTGATACTTTCGAGTAGAAGCGGCAACGCCGGATTGTTTAAAATATTTCAGACGTGTAGATCATGTTAATTTATACATACCTTCGAATTTTTAGATTTATCCGTTGCCTGGTTTGCCAGAAACATCTAATTAACGCTTATCGTGAAAAGCCCTGTATAGTTTTGATGACGGACCTGCAACAAGTCTGAAGAAAAGAACGATATGAAATACTCCTTCTGAATGTAATACTCACGTATACTGAATAGGAAGTAATAAAATTAATAAATCTCGTCTGATTCCAATTTTGTACCTCAAAATGAGCAAAAATAATATTTTGAGCACATAATATGAATAGTTAAAATCGTCTGTGCACGAATAAAAAGCACATCGTTGAATAGAAATTTTGATGTTCTTTTCAGATATGGCAAAAATAATGAGAAATTCGAATGTATAGGGTGTTGTTTTCTGGCTGAAAGAATTTGTGAATTTTAAGTGAAGCCGGACCTGGATTTTATTTTTTGTTGTTGCCTCAATCAATGCCACAGGGTAGATTGAGCAAGTGTACCAATTTTCAAAAATATATACAGGTTGGTTGGAAAGTTATGAGACAATGAAGATATGGACAAAATTGATGAAACATCCTGTATCTCGGTTATAAGAAGTCGTAGACCCATCAACCATGGGTTTTTTGAAATCACCTCAGTGACCCCTATCTACAGTTGAATTATTTACCTTTCCCAATGAAACACCCTATATGTTCCAAAGGCATGTAAAAACATTGTAGTTTATCGAACGGCACCTGTGCGAATCACTATCCTGAGCAAATTGATTGAAAAATTGCGCTTTAATGTGCGGAAATGTGCACTCGATTTCGCGATTTGTTAACGAGATAAGAATTATGCCATCCGATATACCAATTGCATGGTAGATTCCAAAAACCTACCTATGCCTCCCCCGAGGCTACCCCACTGTCGGAGCCAAATCCACAGCACAGCGATTTATTTGCTGCTATTATTCCGGACATACTATCGTCACGTGATAACGAGTTGACACAAAAAGCAAATAAAAGATGATGTCGCCTCTGCGAATATCCAAACGTGCCGCGATTTAAACTGATCTATGTTAGTGGCAGAGCGTCAATACATCCGAGAATATTCATCACCCTCTAAAGACCCGATGAACCAGTGTAAAACTCAACATGTTGATAAGAATACTTGGGGGGGCGCCATATATGAGTTTCACACTGGTCCATCGGATATTATCTCTAGACGAGGGCGAAATATTCACGGAAATATTGACGCTCTGCCACTAACTTAGATTAGTTTGAATCGCGGCACGTTTGAATATTCGCAAAAGGGGCATGTTTCCCTTCAATTAGCTTTTTGTTTCAACTCGTTATCACATGACGATAGTATGTCCGGATTAATAGGAGCAAATAAATCGCTGTGCCGTAGATTTGGCTCAGACCCTGAGGTGTGGCACAGGTACGTTTTTGAGATCTACCATCCAATTGGTATCGGATGGCATAATTCTTATCTCGTTATCAAATCGCGAAATCAAGTGTAAATTTCCGCACAAGAAAGGACATTTTCTAATCATTTTGCTCAGGCTAGTGATTGGCACAGGTGCCGTTCCTTTAGGACATATATCATTTCGTTATCAGATGAAGGAAAAATCTGCAGCTGGCACTCTTACTAAATCGTCCTGTTGTCATTTTCATGAACTATAGGTTGCTGTTATTATTAATTGACATCCATAATACATACTCAGCAAAATGCGTTCTTTTTGAAAGTATCGTAATAGGCTAGTGCCATTTAAAAATATTATAATAACGTCATAAGTCGAACAGTGATGGCGTCATCAAAAATTTGAGCTGACCAAAAAATACCCAACTGTAAAAGAAGTGTCTGAACTTTTTTCCCAATTTTTTTTATATCTTAAAATCATCACTCAAATACCTTTCAATTTAATATTTTTTCAGAATTTTTCGTTCGATTTTGAGGTGCTCAAATCAACAATAATGCCACGGTTATTTTCAAACGGCTAAAAATTTACCGCGAGTAAAAACTGACGTCACGATTTCGTTAGTAGGGACAAAGCACAGTTGCCATATGTTGAAATACGATTGGAATCTCAGAAATATTGGTTATTCAATAATTCATTAATTCTCAATCTTGTATTGGTTATATTCCTAATTAGACATAAAATATCAATTGTCGCAAAATATTCCCTCATCTGTTGTGGCTTATTGCTCATAAAACATTTATGTTAATAATAATATCATTGTATAAATTCACACTAGAAGACATTTGACTGAACATGTGACAACACGGCGCACAAATTGTGGGCGGTGCCTCGTCAGTTCTCAGGATTCTGCACATTGTTGCCAAGTCTACAACATCAACATGCTATTTTGTTATGGAGTATAAGAGATATTTGAACATGCTGGTTGTCCGAAAAAGTCAAGAACGAACTATACTATATTCATGGCTTCTTCATATTATGTTTTATCTCGTGTTTTATTCAACGACAGGACTCCAATCTTTTTGATAAATTGATTATAATTGGTGACTTGACAACCTTATTTGCTTCATGAGTGGAAATGGAGGATTATCTGACCAATAATTAAACAGCATAAAAATTGACGTCAAATGGCGGCCTAGACTGTACGTTTGAAATGCACAATTTTGAATAACGCATAGGCTCATTATTTACATAAAATAAACGTGAGAAGTGTTGCAAAAATCAATTTGGGTCCCTAACAACACAGTGGAGTAATTGAATGCCAATAATTCATTATCTCCATTATGGCCATATCTAGCTTTTAACAAATTTGTTCCAAACTTTACGTGCTCACTGTGTATAAGAAATCATGCTGCAAGATTATTGTTATTGCTGAGTTGTTATATTATTTTTATTATCATTATCGATCAGTGCCGGCCTAACCAATTTGCCAGTTAAGCACGGCATAAGGGCGCAATCGTAATGGTAAATGAGGTGCCAAAACTTAGTTGAGAACATTTTCCATAAGTGAAAGCAACATACATACCTATAATTTCTTCCAAAATACCATATCTTCATCGACGGGCGCGAGGCGGTAATTCTGCCGTTGATTGATATCATAGATCTAAAAGAGCGTTGATTGATATATTACGCTTAGCGTAGTATATCAATCAACGCCTCTGCACTTTTATTGGCTGCTCATCCATCAGTGAAAGAATAAGTTTTTCAAAATCGAAAATGATGTAAGGCTATCTCCACTCACTAATTTTTCAAGAGGGATTTACTAGATCTATCATAATAATATCGATAGAAATTGAATGATACTTATATCCCAACCTGAATGCTATAATCTCTATCGTTTGAAAAATATAATTTCTGAATGAATGTAGCATCAATTGAATATGAAGATCATTTTTCTACAAACGTCAAAAAATGACAAGGTTCGCGCATTGATGACAAATTGCGAAGTGACACTTTTTTCAGTTTCCTACGTTACCATGATACCTTGCACAAAACAATGCGCGAAGTAAAACAGTGCGCGAAGTAAAATATATGAGATATTTATGTTTCAACTTTATGGTCCTCAATCGAGCAAACATTCACGATATCATTTATTTCTGAATGTTCAACAATAAGTTTGTTTTATCTCTTGGAGCGCACGAAAGGAAATTCCTATTATGTTCGTGGAACATCGTATGCGTACCTAGGGAGGATAAGGGGAGGCCTTTTAAGCCAGTTCAGCACCATTTTTTATATCAAGCTAACACTATTTTTACTTGAGAACTATATTTTTTTACGTTTTTAGAAAAAAGTTTGTTTGCAGCGCGAAATACTTTGGTCATTTCGACTATTTTTTCAACTCGGCTACTCCTCGTTAAAAAAATCAGATCTCGATCACCAAAGTAGCATTTCGCGCTCTAGATACAAAAATAACTATTTCGCATTTTTCTTCTGGATTTATAATGGTAAAATCTTGATTTTTCACTTTTTTTTTGTTTCCATTCCTACTGATTTTTCTTTGAATTTAAAGATCTTTTGATCTCCCAATGAAAACAACCGGTACGTCCGTATTCAAAAAAAATCAAAGTTGATGCGATGGCAGCTCAAAGACGAAACGTCTGTTTGAAATTCTGATAACACCATCTTGTAGAACAGAAGAAGTAGATTGTGTTACATCTATTCAAATAGAGTCGGAAAAAAATAAATATGAAATTGCGAAAATTCGTTTTTTCCAATAATTTTCGGAAGTAATTTTTCAAATTTCGAGACGGCATTTTGGAAGTCATAAAATTACGCAACTTTCATCCATTTAACCTTCTCTGTAACTCTTACCGTTTCCGAGATCTCCATGCATTTACTCGAATTTCACTCACCCGTTATAGAGAACTAGAACTTTCTATTTAAATAGGGCATTAGACCTTGAATACAATGATTTCTCCTGATAGTCCTGATGGTGATCTACATCTACAGCCTCTCTCCCAATTATTTTTAGATGAGGTCCCAAACATTTTCCCTGCATAAGGACACACTAATCTTGGGCCGGACCTGATTATCATTAATATTCATCATTTCAATCACAGACAGACTAGGTTATCTCTCAGTGAGAGGCATGAGTTTTGTGATACTTGCTTTCATCAGTGTCCTTATCAAATGGTAAATATATTTTTATAACTCTCAATCAACAGTTATCTAAAATTTTTACTTACCTAATCTGTTCAATATATTAAGTATAACTCAGTAGGTATATGTCTTGTTTCAATGAATTATTACTCTCTTTTTCAGCCCAATAATGGCACTTCCAACATGTTTACCTTTGGAGTCAAAAGCTTTATATGTACCTTCTTTGACGTCGTTAGCAGAAAGTATGTGATTCATTTTCAATTTAATATTTTGAGTTATCAATACACTGACTTATATTTTGCAGCCCTGAATGAAGGTTTGAAATCAAATTTTGCAGAAGTGTCTGTGGAAGTGGTTGAATGTCCAGATTTAACTCAGGAGCCTTTTACACTGGCCAGCAAAGGTAATAATTAGTAAAAATCAACATAGTGGTACAATATTATGACCTGAATATTCTATTGCTTTATTGTTCATAATATTGTGTTGCTGGCCAAGTGATATTACAGTAAGACAATTGAGTCAACAACAATAAGTAACAGATAGAATTATGACTAGATATTCAGAACAGAGTTGTTTTTCGCTAGACTATTTCATGAAACAGATTCGATATAATTGTTATTATGCATGTTATTTTATTTATTTATTTATTTATTTATTTATTGAAAATCAAATAGGATAACGACAGACCCCAAGGTCCAGATTGTTATCCACAATTATTACATAGTTTCATGGTGTACATATAAATTAATAACCCAAAAACTAAAATAAGTTTGAAAAATTTGATAATGAAGTAAATAAGATTTATCATTGAAATGATAACAATTTGCTGAATATTCTATGCACTGTGAGAATTGTATATGTATCTGATTTTTTTTTGAAAACATTCAGTGAGGATTGAAAAATATCTACAGAAAACAACTTTCGATTGTACAGATTTTTCATTCTATGTAGTGGTGAATTTTCTCCTGCGTTTGTATGACAAAATGATACAGAAAATAAAGTATTGTTAGGTCTGAGAAAACGTGAAGGGACATGAATTGAGATTTTTGACAATAAATCTGGAGCGTCAGATAAATTATTTAAAACTTTATACAAAAAAAATATATCAGATTGTTCTCGACGAGCCTCTAATGAATAGAACTGAAACTGTTCCCTAAGTCTACATGTGCTTGCCGAGTGATTATAAGTACCATTAACCTTGTAGTCCATAAATCTCAAAAATTTGTTTTGAATCAACTCTAATCTGTTCTTATGCACAGCATACTGAGGATTCCACATAACCGTTGCGTAATTAAGTCTGCTGTAGACATAAGAATAAAATAATGCTTTTAATGCTTGAATGGAATTGAAGTTTTTACTTTGTCTTAATATGAATCCTAAGGTTTTGTTACTTTTCGTTACAACATAATCGATATGTTCTGAGAATGTCATCTTTCTGTCGAAAACGACACCAAGATCTTTGATTTTATCCACTTTCTTCAAAATGGTGTTATTGAAATTATAATCGTATGAGAATATATTGATATTTTTAGTAAACGAGATGAAAAAACATTTGTTCAAATTGAGAAATATTTTATTTACGATACAATAATCATACAAGCGATCTAGGTCACGTTGAATTAAAAGGTTATCGACTGGACTTTTGACAGATGCAAATATTTTCAAATCGTCCGCAAAAAGTAGAAATTTACAAGTTTCAAATGATGACGTGATGTCATTTAAATAAATCAGAAAAAGTAGGGGCCCTAAATGTGATCCTTGTGGCACACCTGAAGTGACAATATAAGAATTAGATTCATATCCATTAGCTATAACAATTTGTGACCGATTAAATATATATGAAGCAAACCAACGGAGCAGATCACCGTGTACACCAATCTCAGACAATTTTGACATCAATATGTTGTGATTAATTTTGTCGAAAGCTTTGCTGAAATCCGTGTACACGGCATCCACTTGGGTTTGGCAATCCATTGCAAATAAAATAAATTCATTGTATAACGTGAGGTTAGTTTCAATGGACCTTTTCGGAATGAAACCATGTTGTTCAGGAATGATACATTTTCAGAATTATATTTTAAAATCTAAAACGAACCGGTTACGTGATGTCTAGATTTTTGTGATTTCTTTGTCATCCTATTTTAATCCCGGTTTATCATTTCTGCAATTCAAATAGGTGTTATAAAAAAAAACACTAATCAGTCATTGAATTAAATGGATTTTAGGGTCCGGATTATAATGATCTTGTAGTCAGCGATTACCACTAAAGCTATGAGTTTATATTCCAGCAATAAATCACAATTAGAATCTATTTTAAATCCGTCAAAACTTGATGACTTTTCTTGTCGTCATCCCAAATATCAAATATCGAAATATCTACAGCGTAATAATAACGGTTATGTAGAGGCACTACAATCTCACAAAATAAATATGTTCATTTTCGCAAATAGATGCAATTCAGAATAATGATAAGACTAGTACAATAATTTAGGCGATGTTTATCCAAACTCTAAATGAGAGCTAAAATTTTCAGACTCACCAGTTGGTGTTACTAAAACGTGGGATCAATGTCCAGAGTCAAAAATCCTGATAGCCGTGGCCTGTTTTGTCGAAAATATTCACAAAAAATTATGTAGAATATTTCAACAAATAGAAAACCTCAAGTTATGGATAGACTTGACAGACTTTTTTACTCTAAATGTGTAACTTAACAACCAATTTTTGCATTGACGGAGTAGAAGATATCATAGGAAGAAGCCGAATGACACCAACTTTGACTTCACGTTTCAGTGGCGCTATTTGGAGCGCCTCGAGCCGCACGTGCACACACTTTGAAAGGAACTTCAAACCCGCCGAAGCCGCGCGGTGCAGCAGATACTCTAATTGACTTTGGATAGACTATAACCTATATCTTCTCAATTCATCATTTAAAAAACTTAAATTTTGTAAGGTCAACCACCAAATTATAACAATGTATCTCAGCTGCAAATAATTCAGAATGACATCGCCCCTGTTTTAGTTGATATTCAACAAGACTGTTCTTTTTTCAGGTCTGGGGGGTAACCCAAAAATAATCGAATTAGGAGGCAATCCGTATCTCCTCCCACTGGTACACAAGGAAAAAGTATATGATCTGAAGAATATAGCTAAGCTAGTAGGTTCTGATCCTGCTTTCATTATTGGAGCAGGTGCAGGACCGAACCCTTACATTGGTGTCAACTGTGAGGTTAGTTTTAGGTTAACACAGGATGCTTCGAAAATTGAAGCGGTGAATAAAATGAGGTGTTAAATGGATAAAGTGAGGTGTTGATATAATTCGCTAGAAACAATTTTTCGGGACATTTAAAAAAACGTATACTAGCCATAGGCAACACCATATAGACCTATTATAATAGTATTATCGAACAAACAACTCACAAGTATTCAAGTTATGCCGTCAGGAGGGTTCACGTGATATTTTCTATGGCGAATTGCTCACTCTATTAATCGCTCCAATTCCGGAAACGCCATGTATAAATTGTTTTCGGAAAAAACTAAATAAAAGAATTATAGCTCGAGTCCGTTTGAATAAAAAATGTTATATTATGCACAAAAATATTACATTTGAAACAGTTTCAAGTGTTTCTCAAACCATTGAATTCGATTTTTCATTTTTAGAATATAGATAAGAAATGGTGACGTTACAGTTTATGGCGTTTTTTATGTGTACAAATAGCAATATTGCATCAACTATATATTCTCATTAAAATTGCAACATTACATGGACTAACTACGAACAATATCAGTGCAACGTTACATATGGAACTATCAGTTAATTTTCAATTGCAATGTTGCATTAAAATTGATACTTCATTGAGTTTGTAAATAACATTAGCTAAATACAAACAAAATACAACTACAACTTATGATATGCAACACATATATTTGATTATAAATTGTAATATCGCTGAAATATACAAAATGTTACATTGTGTATCTATCAAGAGACGTCATTTTATTAAATGCACAGTCGCAAGCTTGCATTCGACAAACTTCAGCATCTCAGTCGCCATATTTGTTGGTGTTTGGCTTCGATAACAGGTATTTTGTCGTACAAATGGCAAATAATGCCAATAAATATACTTTGGAACATGAATTATTGTTGGCTGAAGCCTCGTGATATAATCTTGGTCCCTGGGTAATAATGATATTCTTTACTACCTTGGTGTATAAATAACTATTTTCAAATCGGTCTAGTAGTTTCGTCAATACAAACAAATAAACTGACAAACAAACAAATCTTTCTCCTTTATAATATTAGTATAGATCAAGTGTAATTGAACACCCCATTTTATTTATTGCTCCAATTTCTGAAACAACCTGTAGATTGGTGACTGTATGACTATCGTTTTGTGATGAAAATTATGAAAAGGTTTATTAACGTTTTTAGGGCATTTATAACTTGAATATCTCAAATGGAACGGTGAATCAACTATCTAGAATCTCCAAAATTGATAAGAATGATGATAAGTCGGAACAAATTACACTGCCAAATACAGAGACGCGTGCGGCTCTCATGGCGAATTTATTAATTACAGAAGGAAAACCGGGACCGGTAAGAACTACAAACTTATACAACAGCAATGAATGTCGATTCCTATATTTTCAAAACTGTCATACATTGTTATGAGACTTAGTCACTAGACCGATATCTTATTTTGCAAGGGATATCAGCAATGAGTGATCAAGTAAAATATGACTAAATGAATCACAGAGAGTTTCATAAATAGAAACTTTTGCTATTTCCGGTGTTTGTGTTGAAGTAATATAATAATATACAGGATGGCTGCCAAATTGAAACTAAATCAGCCATTTTTAGCAATGAACAAGGCAAAGCAACAATACATTGAAAATCTCATTTTCGAAGCCCTTAATCTTAATGATTCAGTCTCAAACTGTTTTTTTTTTCAATGATTTGATATTAATCTATATTGGTTTTCTGACCTTTACTCAAAAAAAGGTACTCTTGTCTCTTTATGAATTTTTTGGTTCTGATATTGTTAACTTGACTTGAATCAGTTTAGATCGTTTTTACTCAAAAGTGGGTGCATCTGATAGACATGAAATGAGAGTTCTTTGTTTTCTGCAAAAGAAATAAAAAATGATATGACTGAATCGGTGGAAAAATTGTACATAAAAATATTATGTTAATATTCAACTCATCTTTTTTCAAACATTCCTAAATAAAATTTGTGTCATTCCTTATTTGCTGCGTTTGGTGATGAAAAGTATAGCACGTGTATCAAAATCCAGAATCACATCAATTGTTTCTGAAATAATAAGAAAACACATGATCAGGGAGAGACAGTAGCATCCTTAGAGGAGAGATTTTTTGTACCCATTTTATGTGAACTCTTATACTGATACTTCGTTGTTAGTAGCTAGTGCAAAAACTATTATATGTATACGCCTCGGTGGGAATGAATATACCGCGCACATTATATTTGAATTTTTTTTATCGCTTGGAGCGCACGAAAGGGAATCCCTATAATGTTCAAAGAACATCGTGCGTTCCTAGGGAGGATAGGGACAGGAGGTAGGTATTGGAATTGTTTTGCTTGTTATGTGGTAGCTGACTTTCATCCTTGTAATCACAATAAAAGTACATGCTTAAAAAATGACCACAGCGTATGTGCACGCTACGATTGTATGCAAAGTGGTTTATTTATACAAATAACAATAAAAATGGGTCTGCGAAAAGGCATACGTTAAATACTTGTTTCAACAATACCCCCACTGTCACATTTTCAGTTGATAATTTCGGCGGCCTGCGTATTCAAATTCTTTCCGCGGTATTATTTCATTCCATTTCAACAAAAACCAATTTGCTTGCATCGTTCGAAATCCCAGTTTATAAGGTATAGTTTTGTTTCAGGTGATAAAAGTTCACGTCAAGAGACGTATTGGAGAAGACAATTTCATAACGACTATCAGGAAAGCTATAGAAAAGAAATATCAGGATAAAAATGTTGGTTAGTAAACAATTTTATTGTGAAGTAAGTGATCAGATAACTGCATATCCACCTTTTTACTTTCAAGGAATGGGTGGCGTGTTCGTACTGAAGGAGGGGAAGGCCAAACAGCACGTTATGAGAGATTTTTCAAAAACTCCTATCGAAAATGAGGAACAACTCAATAACTGGCTGAAGTTTTATAACATGTCTGCACCCCTCATTGCAGTTGGCACATTAGTGAATGCAGATATGGTTGGTATAAAATCATGATTTTTTTTTTAAATGATGCTTCAGAAAAGTCTCCTATGTTCATATTTCCAGATAAGTCTCAGTGCATTGTGAAATTCTGTGTACCTATAGTTTTAATTAGACATATTATTATTTTGTGGCTATTTCGGAAAAACGTGAATTTATAACTTGTCTTGATATTGAATATTTTCCAGGATTTGGATTTGAGGGTTCAACATTTCCATAGCTTCAGCCACCATGGAGAGGCTGGACACTATCATTATGATACAACACCTGAAACTGCCGAATATTTGGGGTATTTCACTTTGGGAGAAAATATTTATAGAATTGATAGACCAATAAATACTCACAGTTGGGGAAGGGACTAAGAGCAATGTAATGAATTTCTATTTTGTATGGTGGATGGTTCATTAAGTTTTATACAACACAATATATTCTATTGAATATTAGTTTTGTTTTATTTTAGTATCCTGAAACATCAAAATGTTATTTCAGGTGAATTTTTCACTTATGTCAATAATTTGATTGCAATGTATACATCATGCAATAACAGTATTGTTATGCTTGCTTCTTCTTATGAAAAATAATTCTTATCGCCGTTCAAGTGTGTCTTATTGTGTTTTTTGCTCGATAAGTTTCATCTCCTCTGAACATTTCAGAGTTCATGAACAGTGCATACTATTTCAAAACATAGCCTCATCATTTGAACTGCGCTGTGCTCAAATTCATTCAGAAACAGTTCCGACAGTGTTTTTTGAAACTGAAATTAGTGGTGGTACTGATGGCGTGGGGAACTAGCTACCATTGTTCCCAGTGAATCGTTCCCAGGATTACATTATACTAGTCTATCTGTTTTCCAAACTCTGACTGGCCCCAGTCGTTGCTCTAGTCTTCAGTATTTCGCCATCCAATGACGAAACTTCCATATTGTCACAATTGAGACTTATTTATCTTTGCTAGCTGAGTTTGCTAAGGATTTTCACTCAAAAAAAAAATCAATTCAAGCATTTATGTTCACTTCAAATATTTATTCCTCACCAAAGAGCTAGGACAGTTTGTAATAAATTATAAAATGAAAATATTACAAGAATTAGTTCTTTGAGAATAGTAATGAATTCGAATATAAATTAGAAAAATGTAATTTTGTGACAATATCAATTTCGAAATTGAAACGACCCTGAATTTAGGCTTTATTTGAAACAAATTATCACTAAGCACTTTGATGATTAAACCACGGAAAAACAATATTGTTTATCAATGTTCTGGAAACCAGATTATCAGCCAAGGTTCAAACTATATTCAAATTCAATTCTGTAGAATAAATACCTACCTACCTTCAAGAAATCATGATCATGGAGTTGGTAAAAAGTTGTCTATTATTGAAAAATGTTCCCAGAGTAAGTGAAGCTTGATAAATGCAGTTTTCAATCACAGTACCAATAATCAAAATATTGTGCAAATATTTGAGCTGTTATCAGAAAATATATTCATTGTTACAAAAGATAAAGATAATTGCGAAGTGAAGGATACTTGGACAACTCAAAACATCAATTCTGATTTAAAATCCGCATTATGAAAGATTTATAATTTAAAAATCGAGTTACACTTTTATTCGATTCTTATTCATAGTGATTTTATTAGATTTTAGCCATTAACCTAGGATCGCTGACATTCTCTACAAACATGAATGGAAGAATTTTCTACTTTGCTTTTGGAAGTAACTTGTCAGAAAAGAGGATGCACGTAAACAACCCAAATGCCATCAGAGCTGGAATAGGAAAATTGGATGTGTGTAATTTTCATAATATCTTTCATATTAAAAACTACAAAATTGAGATTCATTTTTTGCTTCCATATTCCGCAATGTCTCCTATTCAGGGTGAGTCAGGTTGAAATATATTTATTATACAGGGTTTCCAATAAATAATGGGTCAGAATAACCGCTTAATCTCCAACTCAAAAAGGACCATTGAACAAATCATGCTTAGATAAAGTATTATTCGTACCTACTTGGTGTTGAAGTTAAAGATTGAAACATTATATCATTACCTATATAATTTTTTATTGAGTAATAGGTATATAATTTTATTAATTCGGGCATTCGGGCAACATTTTTCATTTGTCTCAAATACAACTATGACGGTTGATAATGAAATTATCACATATTATACAATATGTTATCTTCCGTTTCTACTTTTCATCTCCACGTTTTCGACCCCACTGAAACAATGTTTGTCTGATGTATTAGTGATTACTCATACAATTTTGGAATGTTAATTTCAATAAAATTGACTCACCCTGTATACATGAACAATCCACTTCCACGAGTATTTCCGCATGTCTTATTATTTTTAGGATTATCAAATCGATTTTGTAGCTTATTCAAATATTTGGAAAGGATATGCTGCCACTATTGTGCCCAAAAAAGGAAGTCATGTATGGGGAGCTATATGGGAGATAAAGAAGGAACATTTAGATAGTTTGGACAGGTAATTTGATTGAGGGTTGCTTGGCTGTGTGCACGTGTATTCGCGGGAGTCAATGTTACCAGGTGGTGCTCGGTTTTCATCGTTCCATGTCAAAGCCACGTCAAAACTGGGGGAAAACAAACTCAATCCTCACTCAATCCTCAATCCCATTAGTTCCATTAGCTTGTGTACTGCGTACTGATAAGAGTGATGTTTTCAAATTTCTTGACATAAATTGTCAATATTCGATCGAAAACGCATGTTGTAGATGTTCTTTTGGCAGATATTTTGCTCTATTTAGATCGAAAAAGCCGACCAGTAGTGGAAGGAGAAGCAGTTCTCCGTGCTAATCATGTGATTTTGTGTGATGCAGAAGACTTCAACAAAAGGCAGATTTTTGCACTTTGTCTACAAACTTCGGCGATGAAATCTTCCCCACATGAAGTGAAATTGGAGTTGGGGTCCAGAGGAACTCCTGTAGAACAATGGATTTGTATTTGTTCATGCAAAGCAGGACAATCTGGATATTGTGAACATGTTGTAGCTGTTCTTTTATATGTCAATTGATTTGCACGTCATAATTAGTTTGAAATGTTTGAACTAACTCCAATTCTTCACCCGTTCGCTGTTCACTAAACTAATAAAAATGTAATAATGTAAAAAAATTACCCAACTCAACCTTTATCACTACCCAACAGTGCCAACACTTTATGTCATTGACAAGTTTGACTACAGCTACAGCAAGCTGAATGCAATGTAGTCTATGCACTTTATCCATAGACAACAGTTTGTTTTCCCCCAGTTTGAAGTTCGTATTATGTAACCTAGATGTCGCCCACTTCGTGAATCTCTCGAATATATACCAAAGAGGGGAAGTGTTTTATTTCGTGACAATTAAACCAAGGTTCAAGTTCACGTGAACACGACATGTCGCAGCAACAATGGCTGCTTAACGAAATGTAATCTGTATTTTACCTCCTTTTGGTAAACACATTTTGATATGTTTGTAGCGTATTTCACCATAATGTCAATAGTTTTAAACTGGACCAGAAATATTTTTATGGACAAATTTCCTTGTTAACCTGATGAGTAAGTAACCTCACTTTTATCAATTTCCAAATTCGTATTCAACTACTTTCAAATTTTGATTTCATGATGATGTCTTTCAAAATCAAGAGTTCATCAACAAGTAACTAGTCACCAATTCAACCTTTTTTAAATAATAAAAAAATATATATAAAAAAAACTCAAAAAATTTTTTCTAAAGAACAATTTTTTAAACAACATTTTTTTCAAATTTCCAATTTCTTTCCAATAGCTAAAAGCAGATTACTCACTTACAGCTATGCACTGATGATGTGACTTAACAGTCGAAGGCGCTCTACTACCAGTAACAAATTTGAATAAATTATCTTGCACGAAATACAACACTTCCCTTCTTAGGTAATTTGATGACAATTTTATATACAGAGTGTCCCATAACCAATACGCCACAGGCGATACTAGAGATCAAAGACACTTAATTTCCTTCTTGCTTCGAAAATGATTTAAAACCAGTTTTGGGGGAGCGCGGAAATGTTTTTTTCGGCACTGAGTAAGAAGAAATGAAACTACCCAAATCCACATGAACAGCTGCCCTTGTCATGAGTGTTCATCAATTCGTGTACCATAAAAGCTACCCCTTAAATGAACAGACCGGATCCGCAATCAATTTGCAAAATGTCAATGATTGTTCTTCCATTATAAATATTTCGAACAAATGATTTAATTTTCTATTATTATTTTTATTATTATGTAAATGTTTGTTGCATAGTTATTTCTATCAAGTTAAACTAAACAATATCCAATGAGTTATAATTTTTTTTATTTCCTTTGTTATCTGATATGTAGCTCGTAGGAAAAATGTTGTTCCTAACACGTGCGCAAAGTGCAATTTCGGCAAGCAAAAACTTATACGAACTCCGCTTCGGGCGTCGTTCGCCTAACTGTATTTGCGTGCGGAAAGTAACAATTTTTTGAATACGTCTACGAATCAGAAAACACAAATGTGGTTCTTCTCAAAGTGTAAATAATTCCAAGAAGGTATGAACATCCCTACCACAATTTTTAAGGCAAGAAGGCGTCCATGTCAACCTCTACTATCCGATAACAGTAAACGTAACTACCCCAGAAGGAGAAATTATCGAATGCAGATGCTATAGACAATCCGGTGATGCAGATGAAGTGAACTTGGAGAACTTGCCAGAGGAACGAAAACCGACACCGGCTTATTTGAATACAATTATTCGGGGTGCAGAAGAGTCCAATCTACCGGAGGAATATATCGAGTTTCTGAAGAAAATTCCACATAATGGATCCGATGTCAATCCTGATTTGAAATATAGTTATTGATGGTGGATTGAATAAGCATGAATTTGAACATTTTTGCTAAATTATTGTGATGGGGAGATACACTGTATAAACGAGTCTAGAACGTGATAATAAAATTGGAAGTAATCGAATTTAGCAGTAATTTCAATACCAAATGATCTTAAATTGATGCTGGTATATCATACGGTGGGGGGTGGGGGAATATCCCCTCCAATATGCTGATGGAAGGAAAGCGCTTTTCTTCACGTCTCAAGGTATGTTCATGCTTGTACGAATTCCGCAAAGTTTATGCGAATTAAATGGCGACTGCGAAAATCGCAATGAAGTTGAAATATTTGAACTTTTCTACGAATTCGGATGGAATCATAACTACACAGTATGCATGAAATATGTTGTTATTTTGATAACATATTGAAATTGGGGAATTAGGGAGCGGACAGCAGAGGCCGAAAAAAGACGAGACTAGACACTATAGACTATGGGTATGTAAAGAATTATAATTAGCAATAAATTTCATCATTTCTTCATTTGATTGAATTTTTTTCGCAGGATGAATTCACTGGACGAATTAATTTCAATATATCATTTGTATCATCTATAGAGCTAATCCAAACGCAAAAAAATAGCTGTAGTGTGCGAGGGACTTTTAAATGCCGAAAAATGTATGGAGATTATCACGTCCTCGTTCGATGAATGCCTTTGATTTGATGAACTTCTATCAATGGTGGGACCAGAAATAAAGAAATTATATATGACAACAGAACCCTTTATCTCATGCAAATTGTGTCGCATGAGTATGAACGTCGAATTCTGTTGGGAATTTCATGTTTTGCGATTCGCAGAAATTTTGCGGAGTTCGTACAAGCACGAACATACCTTTAGGTTTTCTTTAACCAATAAGCACAAACAAGAACAAATGTGAACCAATGAAAATAAAGTAGACATACCACTTTGACACCTTTCAAAAACTCCGCTTATTTTGTACCGCAAATAAACATTTTGCTGTGACACAGAGCTACCACGTGTAATAGAGGTCAAAATAAGTTGATTGGACCCAATTTATTTTCATTCGTTGTTCAGAAATGAGCTCGGAAATGAGTGGAAATAATTTGGGGAAATTGGACAAAAGAGCATTTTAGAGGATAACTCTCGTTTCGGTTCGAAAAGAAACTCAAAACTGATTGTAGAAATAAATGTGAAAAATTTCACAACGATAAGATCTCCACAAAATTCTTAATCACACACAATGTTTCGCCAACACAGTAGCTTCTTCAGGTGAAACACTAGTACATTACTTTTACAATAAACAGTGTATTAATTGTACCAGTATTTCACCTGAAGAAGCTACTGTGTGTTTTTTTCACGTTCTGGTTCCCACGGAAAGGGATATCCTGTAATGTTCAGAGAACATCGTGAGAACCAAGGGAAATAAGGTAGGAATTGGTGTTCTTCTTAAATTTCTGGAGGTTACATGCCTCGGGGAACACCTCTATTGGCAATGTGTTCCAGAGCCTCGCTGTTCGTTGGATGAACGAGTCTTTGGAAAGGGATGTTCTGCAGGTCTCCAAAGTGACCACGAAGGAGTGCGAAGCCTCAACTCGACGGGTTAATATCGCGGGGACTGCCAAGGGAGGAACAATTGTTGATATTTCAGTAGAGCATCGTCCATGAAAATATCTATAAACTAGAGCCAGATCGCCAACTTTTCTACGGTGTTCCAGAGAAGTAAGTGAGTTTGTGAGCAAGGCATCACCCACGAGACGAATTGCCCTTTTAAGGACTGCACTCCAAATATGGGAACAGTAGCGAAACATATCGTGTGACTAAGAATTTTGTGGAAAAAAAACGCACCCACTAATATTTCAGAAGAAAACACATGGTTTTCTTAAATAATGTTAATAGATATTTCCCAGCAATGTTGGGACTTCCTGTATATCTACTACCTGATATTCCTAAAATTATTATCCAAAGCCGAAATCAAAATGTGACAAGAACATTATTTGAATAAATTTTTGGAAATCAAAAGTCAAGACGCTTAAATTTTATTTTGTAATGCTCAAAATTATTTTTGATACCAACCAAATATTATAATGAAAATATGTTCTGAAAACAATGTATATCCCCCTCCTAAGGTACATACACTTCAGGCTACGCCACTGTCAGTTACTGATGTGCGGACTGCGAGTCCGAACCGCCTAAAATTAACCGGTATTTAACGAACCATTCCGAGTAGGCGGCTGTACGGTTAGTGTTAAGAGGAAAGCAGAGCAGGTTGCTGCGTGTTCCGAATGAGGCTCTTGAGCGGACTCTCACTCCGCACGTTTAGTGTCAATGGTAATTGTAAAAGGTGAATATTTTTCATTGATTTCTGCTTCCTGCCGATTATTGAACCTAGATATGTGATTACAGTGTTTGAAATAAATTACGAAAGAGTACAAGAATATCTTCGCAAACTCTACGTCGATATTGAGACTGATATCCAGCCATCTGACGACGACTCGAGTTTGCAGGAAGATCATAACAATTTGCCTTCAAAATGTGTAAATATACTAACATTGAATGTCTATATAGTTTTCCCAAGATTGAATTAGTTATTCAGGGTTTTAGTTCTTTATGTAACGTAAACCAACGTTAGAATCGGAAACAGTATAAAAACGCAGAAATACCGAAATCGTTCAGTTAGGTTTCATGAACCTCAGTAACCAAATGGTTTGCCCCAAAATGACACTGCGTTTAAAAATGTTCCTATTAGAAAGCCTAGAAGAAAAATTCATTCCCTTGTCTGAGACAATTTGTATTGAAAAAGGTTTGGAGAAGAGACGTTGCGGGCACGAATCTCTGCTTCCGCTTTCAACATAAAAATGGAAAAATATTTGTCTTGCAAATTTGTCAGGTATTCATCCTTTTCTTGACACTTCATAGTGACAATTGGTGACGTTGGCAAACAAATGAGTTACAGGATGTTTTCATTAATTAATCTTGAATTTACCAGTAACATTTTGGGACAAACCATCTGGTTTGTCCTCATTACACATATATTGAAATAATACTCATATTTTTATTTTATTGAAACGAGGAGAAAATCACAAAAAATCTGAAATAATAGTTTTAGTTCAACACAATTTTGAATAGTGTTGTGCGCTATTATATTGGATTGAAAAGGTGTCCTTCACACTATATCAAATCAGACGTTACTTCACAGTATTGTTTCTCATGCTTCTGATCCTCTATGGAATAAGGTGAAAGAAAACTAGATATATGGGTAAGAGAACTTAAACTTCAAACATTTATTTGATATATAAATAGAAATGATGCACAATACCTTTCACAAGGGGCAATTTCTCTTTTATTCATTCTTCGATTTTTTCTCATCTTCCTTCAAATGAAGGAACACAAAGGAGAAGAGAAAAACACCTAGCATCATGGAAAACGCCCCAGTGTAGTAGGGATACGCGCTAGTTATGAATCTCTCATACTGAGTGTGCTCTAATGGTCGCACGGATACCTGAAAGAAGTAGAGAAAAATTCATTAGTTTCAGCAATCACAATGAAAAAAAAATAACAACAATCAGATGGACTTGAAATCAAGTTTGAATATGAAAACTCTAGTTCCATTACAAAAGGCGGGAACAAATATATTTGGAAAAAATACCAGGACCATTATCATGGTGAGGATGAAACGCTATGAGGTTTTATTCAATTTTTCATCCCTAGTAGTTTTGAAAAATCGAAAGGAAATGTTCCCACTGTTACAACCAAAAACCATATTCAACCAGTCTTCAACAAAACTTCACTTCATAAATATGCCTATAACAAATCCTACAAGAACAAATATACAGGGCAAGTCATAAAATGCACCTGTATATTCAGATCATATGAAATTGTTGGAGAAAGAGCAGCCTGAACAAAATGATTGATAACTAATCTCCATTCAGAAGAAGATGGATTTACAAAAGTTACCCACAGGAGAAATAAGTCAGAACAAGACAACAAGAAAATGGTGAATGAAATACATCTAACAATAGCGATAAAGATTTTGCAAACAAAAGACATGAAGGGTTATATCTATACAGGATAAAAAGAAGTATCACAGAAGATATTGAACAATTTTTAAACAATCAAGGTGTCTTTTCAAATGCCTGCTTAGTTATTTAGGAGTTTCCTACAGAAGGAACACAAACAAAATGTTTCATGTTCGGTATAGACTGGAAGTTTAAAGAAGATATACACCAACCAACAGTGTGGGCTTCAAACGATTTGATTTTCATAAATAATGGGCTTACAATGGCGGCGGATTTTGCATAGAAACCAAAAATACAACCCATGGTGTCAACGCAGGTATATCTCTGCAGAAAGTACAGCCACCAGAAAAATAATTTGGAGAAATTTAACATATTTCATCTCAACTTGCAGGGTTTTCGTTGCAAAGGTGGTGAGCTAGAGTTGTTATTACATATACATGATACTTACATTTTTTGCCTGTCACAACATTGAATGAGAGAAAATGAAATCAATGTGCTGTTTGAATAAATTTGAGCTTATTAGTAACTTTAGTAGATATAATTTTGCAATAGGTCCATTGAAAAACTCTTTGAGGTAACTATCTTGAAAAATACTGCGTTCATCTGCGAAAATAATGAGCATACCTCTGTTCCACATAATCAATGAGAGCTCTAGGGATCTGGTAGTCAACTATAGGAATATCTTCATTCAAAGTCAATTCACAAAAGTAATTGATGGAGCATACAACTCGAGACTATAAAAGTTTATTGAGATCATCACAAATCATTGAACAACTGCCAGTATGGGTGTCACCGTGGAAGATCCACAGAAACTGCAGTTGCTGAACTATGGGGAAATATATCCAAACCCTCAATAAAAAACGACTGGCTTATACTCTGACTTGAGTAGGGCCTTTGATACAGTTGAGCATCCTCCTCCTGAAAAAACTAGAACATTTTGGTACTCGGGGATCTAGCAAATGAATGGATGGCAACATAATCAATATGATAGGAAACAAATCGTGGTATTCAATGGAAATAAATTGGCCGGAAAAACTTGTCAATATAGGGGAACCTCAGGGATCTATTCATGCACCAATACTTTTCATAATCTCCATCAACAATATGACTTCATATATGGCAGGTACAAAAATATTATAGGCGGACGATACTAACTTCTTCCTTACTGAAGATTCATTGTAGCAAGTATGACATCAAGCCGGCAGCACTGCACAACAATTTAATCTTGTGTGTGCACAGAGCAATGCTTATGTATTGAAAACACCAGAAGGGTTATAGCCACCGAGATGATGTTTTTTAGTGAATATTTTCGAAACCCTCTGTTTTAGAATAACCAAATTTTGTACATGTACCTAAATTTGTATGCCCAATTTGAAAATGTTAAGCATCTTACGACATTTTGATGAGAGGCGTGGAACATAGGTGGGGTGGAGTGACATTGTACATTATTAATATATCATTTATATATTATGCAGTCATCTGTACCTCTTCAAATAATGTAGAATCCATAATAGTAGATTGTTTTTTTAGGATCAAAAGTGACACTTTGTTTGACATGCGAATTTTTCATTTGCGAGGCGGAGCGTCTAGCGAAGCTGAGCCGTGTTGCCATTGTAACGTCGTGTTCAATTTTTTCAATAAAAATCACAGATCATCAATCATAGCCTGGTACATATCCGTACGCTAAATGCTATTTCAGTTATGTGAGTAGAAGTGAGTAATTTATGAAGAGTGACATATTATAACCCGTGAACAAAGAGGAGTTTTTTTTCCTGTCGAAAAAGTATTATTATTATAATTATTATCATCTTCTTGACAAGTGACTTCATAAATAGATTGACGGCAATACAATACACTAAATAGCTGAAAATATGAAATGTATCTCCCATGCATTGATGAATTTGCTCCTTCAAAGTGCCCACCTGATGTTAGGTTTAGATATGATACTATTATTTCATCATCTAAATAATCTGAGACTTATGAGTACCAAAAGACGGATTCTAATAGTTAATATCCGAGGTACTGACGTATAAAGTTCCATGTCTGATTGTTGTATGTTTTGTGTCCAAAGAGCAAAAAACAAAGACAAAGCATCAACAAAGTGAAATAGAATGTGTAGAATTGAATGGAGAAAACAAGACATCTCCATATTAAAGGTCTGACCAATCAAAAAGTGTACTCAACAATTGTCGTCACTTTATTCTTGACTTGACCTACCTGGGTGGTGTTGTGCAGCCGAGTGTACCCCACCCTGTCGTAGTCGACCTTGAACTGGTAGACGCCGTACACGTCAGGGATGCGGAAGCGCGCCTCGTACTGCCCTGAGGGATTCCTCTTGAGGGTGGTGCGGACGAACGGATCGATCCGCACGAACTCTAGCTGGACGTCGTCGGCGGTGAACGGCTTCCATTGGCCGTTCGTGAGGATGTCGATCTCGATGGTGTATACCTGAAAGAGGGGCGATTGTCACTTGCGAAGGGAAAGATAGTTTAGTATTTTTTCCTGGAACCCAACCACACCAACCAGGTTGACTCCAGTGGTAAATCTTCAGGAAACCAGACTTCCAATTACCAAAGACTTCCAAAGACTACCAGAGACTCCCAAAGACGTCCAAAGACTCCCAAAGACGTCCAAAGACTCCCAAAGACTTCTGAAGACTTCCAAAGACATCCAAAGACATCCAAAGACTTCCAAAGACATCCAAAGACATCCAAAGACTTCCAAAGAATTCCAAAGAATTCCAAAGACTTCCAACGGAGTGTACACCAGACTTCCAAGGAGATTTACCCCTCGGGTTGACTTTATGATAACATCATGGTAACTTAATAATAATAAATCGGTTTTTGGTGAAGAGGTGGATTGTCGTCAGAAGCTGTTTTTCAGACCAACCTTCACAACAACAATTACAAGTTACAAATAGTATATGATGATGATGCACATACATTCACATAGGTATAATATATTAAGGTAGACTGGGGCAAATGTAAAAATGGGGTAAATGCAACAGTAGCCCATAATATCTTCATATAATCAAAACTTGCTCCCGCCTGATTGTATCAGTGAGATTCGCACGCACCCGCTCGCTTTAGTTCGATCTGATCTATGGAGCAAGGCTGTATTGTTAAATTCAAAAGTTAAGTTTAGTAGGTGTTTTCAAGGATATCAATAAAGTCGCATTATTGAGGTATGATCACTAGATGTTATCGACCATCAATCTACAGAAGGGTTATATTAATGTAAAATATTTTTGAATTCGATGATTTATCAACTGTTGTAACTGTACTTGTATATGTTACATTTTCCCCAAATGTTTTGATGGTATGGGGCAATTGCAATATATCAACAGAAGATAGAAGAGAGTCTGGATTGACATTTTATGTTAAATTTGACGGGCTGAATATTTGTTAATAACTCGATTTTAGATTTTTACCTCTTATGTTGATATTTTTTATTATGTTTCATATTTCTTTTGTGGTATCATCCATTCTGATGAAAGGAAGAATAAAGCCACATTTCATAATTTAATCAGAACTATTCAAATTTTATATCCGATTTGCCCCAGTCCACCTTATAGAAAATATAATATCAAAAACGTTGATAGAGATTCTTGAAGATAGTGATAATTCTCATTTTCTTATTTTTATTTTTTTTTTTCTAATTTATCAGTTTTTATGACGTCACGGTTTATTTGTGAAGCTTGACAGATGTCAGTTTATCTGCTTTTCGTTTATTGTTTGGTTTTAGTAGTAATATTAATATATTGAATAAAGGAATACATCATCTGTAACAAAAATATATCAGATAGGAGTATCAAATTCAAGAAAATTGGAACAATTTGCAATGTACATATTTCCAATGAATCAAATATTTATTATCATCAATAACATGATAAGATCTCTCATTGAAAAATAATTCATATTGATCCACAATTATCTCTTCAAGAAGTATAATAAATTTTTCTTATCAATTATATAACCTCAGATTATAACAAAAAAAGCCCAACCCAGTGATGATCCAGTGCCCATTCAAAAGCCTCAACTATAACTATTCAGTGAACTATCTCAGTGAGCTAGTTTCAGCATTGCCAAGCAAGCAACTCAAAATGAACTAGAAAATCATCGAAAAAAGTACTAGTTTTTCGAGAAAAGTACTAGTTTGGATTTTCATTCAAACTCCCTACTATTGAGTGAGGATAGTGGGAGGGGGGGAGGGGGTAATAGACAAGAAAAAAAAATGATGGAAACTTATTTACTGAATATTGTCAATATCTCATTTGTCAAAATACTTCAAAACAGACAATCAAATTTTTATTCATATTCATGATCATAGCTTAGAGCAACGTGAAAACAATTGACAAATGACAATATACAATATAGACAAGTAATATGAACTGAATAGTTCAGACTGGAGTGAGCACAAAACTCAAAACTTTGTTTGGATGTTTCAAGTCAAAACATACTATACAGAGTGGCGTCCTTAGCGTCAATAATCTTTATTGAAAAGAATCCGGCAATAACCAATAAAATCAATCATAGTTATGATACAAGAAACAAAATCAACAATGTATGACTTGAAAAACATAAGCTCAGAATTGAAAAAAACTCTAGTTTTATTGGATCTAAAATTCATAATGCCATCAAAATTAAAATGCCTAAATATCATAACTTTCAAAATAGAAGTTAAAAGTTGGCTTATAGAAAATGTGAAAAAAATCAATGATCATTTTTAATCAACTCTATTTCTCTTTATTTTAATTTATTCTCATAATTGTATGAATTGATTATTTGTTTTCAGTTCAAGTATTTATATTGTGGAACAACAATTTTATAGTGAAATAATTCATCTCTTTCACTCACCAATGTGAAGGAGATACAATATGAAATATATAAACATGTAATTGATATTAGATGACAAAATGTAGATTTTACTTGATTCAATAAATGAATGAATAAATAAATATATGCCCTTCTAGTGATACATGGTTTGAGGAAATGCTGACTAATACTTTTTATGTTTTATAGAGAACTAATAATTTTACATTTTAAAACAGCTCATCTACAGTATGCAATTTGACATCCAGACTAGTTTAGCAACATTAACAAATGGATGTGGATTAAGAGGGCGCATCAGTCAAAACTGCCATGCAGAGGTCAGTTTGGTACCAAATCATTAATAAACTATAAGTGTAAGCGCAAAAGTGGTTGGTACATATTAAAGACGAAGGTTGAGAATAGGGTATGAAGGAATTTTCCAGCGAAATTCAATTTGTGTAAAAAAATATATGGTAATGAAAAACAATAACATTGATAACGTTTGTGTAACAGAATCGAATAAAAACCTGGCATACCCTAAGTTAGCAATTTAATAAATTTTTGATGAAATAATCAGCTTCTGGAACATTGTCGTTTGGGAATGTATTGTGCGTAAAATTAATTCTGACGTTTCTGCATCTATTTTCAATATCGCCATATTGTTAGCGAGGTTTCGACAGTGGCAGAGTAGTTCAGCTATTGTCTTTCAGAGGGCTACACAGTGAAACTACCGTGCTGCGCTCCTTCAAGAACTAATACAAACATTACAGTTCTCTTTTTATTCATTTCTTCTTTCTGGGTCTGGGGAACAGTGTTGCCAATAAGGCGCTTTTCAACTTCGTTTTGCGTCATTGCGATTTTTTGTAAATAATTGTGCTTTTTTTTCTTTTTATAGTCTATCGAGTGTATTGCATAACTGACTCTGTTGATTGATAATATCAATCTATATAATATATAAAATTCTCCTGTCCCTGTCACGGTGTTTGACGCCAAACTCCTCCGAACGGCTTGGCCGATTCTTATGAAGATTTTTGTGCATATTCGGTAGGTCTGAGAATCAGTCGTGAACGATTCTTCAAATTGAAAATTCGAGATGGCGGATATCCAATATGGCGGACGAGTTTTGTAATCCGATTCAATTCAAAATTGGCATCTGAGGGTTTTTGGGGTCGGATATTATGATTTCTTCGTCAAAATGAGGAGATTCAGAATGGCGGATACAATATGGCAGACGAGTTGTTCAAATATGATCCGATTCTGTTCAACATTGGTATCTAGGTGGTTTTCGGAGTCGGAGATAACAATTATTTCTTCAAAATTTGGAAATCCAAGATGGCGGATCCAATATGGCGGACAAGTTTCGAAGTTATAGACCAATTGTATTCAAAATTGGTAATCAATCCTTTCCTCCTTTTCTCATTTGCTGAGAATTAGAAATCTGGTGCTACTTAGTTTCAACCAGTGACCAGTGATGCCAGGTCTAAGGAAATGTCCCTAGTTCAAAGGACAAATAACTAAATTCATTTTTACTAGGGAAATAAAGGAAAATTCTTCGGATTTTTTCATCTCTTTTGTGACATTCACACTTACCGAAATAGGATATTTCAAAAAACAAAAACAGTTTTGTTCTATAAAAATTGTATTTATAGACGGATTGACCGTTACCCACGTGAACATAGGGCCAGAAGTCTCTGACGTAACCAGCTCGTTCCTTCAGCTAACGTGACCGAGTTAGTCCGTTACCTAAATGAACGATTGACCCCTACTGATAATACTGATATATACAAAAACATCAGTGTTATAATATAAAATAGCAGAACGCTGGCAGCACTGCAACTGGCGGAGCAAGCGGTGTCGCAATATCAGGCAGTGTGTGTGATTCCCCGAACGATTCCAACTGGACTTCAAAGAAAAATCGATAAGTGACCAGTGTTGCCAGTATGGGCGATTTCTCGACAATTGGGCTATCTCTGAACCTATTTTGGCGACCAAAAATAGAACTTGGCGACAGGCGACTTATTGAGACGACTTGGGCTTCTGGGAGTGAGATGAGTATCGCGAGTCCAAATTCAATGGCTTCTTGGCTTTACCATCCGAGTAGATTCGAGTCACCGCACAGAGCGAGATCCATTTGACGTTAGCAGGTTTTTTGTTTATATTATGTTTCTACACTCTACAGTATCATTCATAAAGTTGGCATCATATGGGAAAAATTTTTGATAATAATATATCATAAACATCTAATCTATCTTCATCAGGTGAATGTGTCTGAAATGTTTCAAACGCACAGAGAAATCATGTCAACAAAAACTTCAAAATCTCCGGGAAGTTCAAATGATTATAAGAATCAAAGGTACAATGATACGTATAACGGTATAACTTCTTCATTCTCTGGCCACAGAACTCTGAAATAAAAAGAGAAAATACCTTTCAACGGGAACCTATATAGATCCGGATCCAATATGCAAATTGGATCCGCCATCTTCAATTTCCTAATTTTGTCAAAAGAATCATGCATAAACCCCGATACCGAAAACCCCCAAATACCAATTTTGAATAGAATAGGGTTATAATTACGAAACTACCATATTGGATCCGTCATCTTCATTTTTCTGATTTTGAAAAATGAATCATATTCCCCGATACCGAAAACCCTCATAGATACCTACCAATTTTGAAAATAATCGGATCATGAACAAAACTCGTCCGTCATATTGGATCCGATATCTTTATTTTTTAAATGTTGACAAAAGAATCATAAACTCCGATACCGAAAACCCCCAAATACCAATTTTGAATAAAATAGGATTATTTTTTTTATCGCTTGGAGCGCACGAGAGGGAATCCCTATAATGTTCAAAGAAATGTTCAAAGAACATCGTGCGTTCCTAGGGAGGATAGGGATAGGAGGAAGGTATTGGAATTTTTTTATAATTACAAAACTCTACCATATTGGATCCGTCATCTTTATTTTTCTGATTTTGACAAAAGAATCATATTCTCCAATACCGAAAACCCCCAGATACCAATTTTGAAAATATTCGGATCACAAGCTAGTACAAAACTCGTCCGCCATATTGGATCCACCATATTTAATTTCCTTATTCTGACGAAAGTATCATTATCTTCAATCCCGAAAACCACCCGATACAGAGATTTTGAATAGAATCAGATCATAATTAGAAAACTCGTCCACCTTATTGGATTCGCCATCTTGAGTCTCCAATTGAAAAAATAGTTTACGATCGATTATCAGACCTACCAAAAATGCACAAAAAAATTTTCATAAGAATCGGTCAAGCCGTTTCGGAGGAGTTCGGCCACAAACACTGTGACAGAGAATCAATAATATATGTTAGATATAAACTATCGTATGACTTTCATTCTATGGTGAGGTCATCACAGGATGGGAATACTAGGTGGTAAATATAATAATGTGAAATATATCATTCCACTTATGAATTTCTACTACTACTAATTTGGCGACGTATTCTGAATAAATACTGGCAACACTGTAGGTGACTTTGTACCTGTTCCCTTAGTACAGCCACAAATATTATTCAGAGACATCTATTGATGAGGTTCCCTATTGATTGAATTAAATGTATCTAAAGGATTCTGTAGAAATAATACATGAAACTATGATTATGGCGCCACTAGACGGCTGTGATATATTTATAGTTTCACTGGTGTCTGTGGGCGAACTATTTCACTGTGATGCGCGCCCTTAAATTGAACTTGAAAGGCCAACTAATCTAAACTATGGTGGAACCATGCAATAAATTTAAGAAAATTTCAACAAATGCGTACAACAAAAAACAAATTTAACTAGCATAAAATATTTTGAGGGTTGTAACAATATAGTGTTACTGTTAAATCTGAAAAATATATTACCAGGTCAATCAACTAATGTGTTAAAATATAAAATTAAAATCTATGAATATATAATTCTGTTCTACCATCCAAAAAAATCAATTCCCATAATATTATCAATAAAAGGCACTATTTATAGCATATGTACTTACCACATGTTCCATGATAGTATAATCTTTGGGAGCAGCTTTTTCACCTTCTTTGTGATGCTTCACTGATCTCACCCTCAACTGGCCATGTTCTTTAAACACCCATTGGCTAATGGCAATGGCAACATCCTGGTTTCCAGATACTGGAGCTTTCAATCCACCCTATAATGATGATTTTCTTTCAAATGATTCAGAACAATAATATATTGAATAAAGAGAATGGAAGTCAAAAATATTTTACAAATATCATGTCTATTGAAACATACAAAGTGTGTATCTAGATCTATGAAATAACCTGAAATAACATATATTGAAAAAACAAATTTTATAATTATTGAATTTGACAAAGAAAATTATCTGTATCTACTATACAGTAATGAAATGAAACTAATAAAATTTTAGTTGCAAATAATTCTTCTCAATTCATTCAGAAGAAAATATCATCAATATTGAACTTGAAGAGATATCAATAGAGATTAGAAAATTTTTCTGGTGGTATATTTGAAACTTAGTGATACATAATATAAAATAGTATTGGAAAAGGTACTTACAAGTGATCTTTGTATAAATGCAGTGAAGAATTCATCAGAGAAAAATGATAATGATCCACTGAAGACAACTCTGGCATTATTTCTTGCTTGCAATCCAGCAATGAGAATTGTGTCTTTTCCAACAGCATGAGGATACTGTAAACATTTGAATTGTCAAATTAATGAATAGTCCTGAGATTAATCACATATTATAATTGATATTCCAATAACACTAATACCTCTTTGATGGGCTGATTTGGATTGTAACTATATGCTGTACTGTCAGCAGTCAACAGAGGCAACACCAAGGGATTCTCTGGATCAGCCAATATGCCAGTTCCTTGGTATAATAATGGAGCCACTCCCTTTCTTGGTCCCACAATAACAGGAGCATCAATGAGGTTAGCAGAGGGAACAACAATCTTTGTGTGCTGACCTTCATCAGATACATCAAAGTTGAGGTGGTCAATTACAAAGGCATTTTCCTCATCAACCTGTAGGATTATTTTTTTAATATTGTGAATTGTAGTGTGTTTAAATTTGAATGCAGCATTTGAATTTCCATATACTGAGAGTTCAAAATAAGAAGAGTATAGACTGCCCACCAGTAGACTAAAATTATCAATTTTAGGGAAAAAAATGTCTATAGACAGTGGACCAGTGGGCATACTATTTTATTTTTGGTTGCCCACAGATTTTATACAGAAAGAATGTATTCCACTCAATGGTCAGCAGTCTAGGTAAGAAGTATAGTTTACTGACTGGTCAGCAGCTTATAAACTTTCTTCAAAATAATATATTTACAATAAAATTTTCAATACCATTTTGCCTTACATGGCACTTCTGGTTTGGCTAAATTAAAATACTCATACTAAATAAATGCTAATTCTGAAATATCATAGGCTCTCAACATGACAGAACCCTATCTCAGGACTCAAGAGTTCAGGCATTCTTGTTGAAGACTGACATGGTTCTGATATTTTTCCAGATAATAATCTGATGATCACCTGACTGACTTCAATTCTTTGTTTTATTACCTCAAAACCACACTCAGATGCCAATTCCCTCAGCACATCTCCTGTAATGCTGCTTCCAGCAACAAGAACATTTCCGCCTTCATCAATGAATTCAGTTATGGATTCTACATTGAGGCTACCACCAAATTCTTCAACAGTGGGTGCAAAGATGATCAAGTTTTTGTACAAGTATTCACCATACCTTGACAGAACCAATGAGGAATCATCGGCGATTTTGAAAGTCAGGGAATATCCCCTTTCTGGAATGCAAGAATGTTAAAATGGTCTACCGGTGATATAATATGGGGAAATTTGTCAAGTACCTACCTTGCAGGGATTTGAAGAAAATTGAATGAGTTTCTTTAATTACTTGATTATCTAGTAGCACTAGAGTTGGCCCTTGGGCAGCAATGGAAGAAATAATTGCAAAAAAGCAAAAAGTTAAAATTTTCATTTTAAAATTCCTCAAATCCACCAGTCCACAAGCACCACACAAACACGTCAACAAATTTTAGTTTTAATTTTAACCTAAAACTACCCAAACCCAAAACTTCAACTAACAACTAACTTTAATTTAACCTGTTAATCATAGGTCGCGTGCAAGAACTGTCAGATGACCGACCCTGGAGGCAAAACATATTTGTTTACAAGTGATCGAAATAGTTTTCCACAATTATGTTGGCATATGAATCGTATTTTTCCGCTATTCATCAATTCGCTAATGCCATCACATTGTGCTGTTGTAAAATGCACAAAAACTGCAGCGGAAGATGAAGAAATCCGGATGGTACATTATGATGATTCAAAAGTAAGTACCTACTATAGTCACTCACATAGTTTTCATTTTTGAAATTTGGTTATTTCTCTGATTTCTCATCGGAGTTCCTTCTGCAATAGGATCAGCTAATAGAAATATACCTGAAATTTCTAGAATAATGCAAGAAGATTGGATTCATGCAATCAATCGGGAGGACTGGTCTGACATGCTGACGATCGTGTGTGTTGTAGACATTTTCAATCTATTAGCAGCATTAGCTTGTATTGCAGAAGTGGCAGTAGGTAGAAGGAATTTTAATAAGGAATGACAACATTTCATAATGCTAACTATGTGAGATTACTATTAACCTGAAAAATCATATTCCCTAGTCTCTTGCTGCATTTTTTGTGCATTGTACAACAGCACAATGCGAAGGCATGCTTGAATTAATGAATAACGCAAGAAACACGATTCGTATGCCAAAATATTGTGAAAAACTATTTCAACCTTTTGATTCCTCTGTAACCAAATAAAAAAGTGAGGTTGCGTTTCAATAATTCACAGAAGAATGAGGTTGTGTTTCAATATTTTGCCTCCAGGGTCGGTCTTCGTGCACGCGACCTATTACTGCATTTAACTTAACCTCCATCATCTTTTCTGCTTCTCATTTTTATTAGAGGAGGCGCAAAATGCATGAATTTTGAAGAAACTTGAAAAAGAAGACTGGGGTTATGTCATAGAGAAAATGTGTATCATAAGTCAAAAGTGTCTAAAATACTCAAAATCATAACAGAAAAATTACTTATTTAGTATTAGTTATATTTCAGATAGTGAAAAAAATTATAAAAAATAGAAAAAATGTACAACACATTACCAAGAATTATACCAAAGTACTGCCGCGTAGGACTTTTTTCTAGTCATGTGAGTCAGCCTGGGATAGAAATAATTAAATTTTGATTTTCAGTTGTATAGTTCCAGGAAAATTTCTTCAAACAATGGACCCATAACAGAAAATTTCATTTTAACCAGACTTAGAGAAAAGTTCCCTACCGCCGGTAATATCAATGTTGAAGATACTTCTGGAGGTTGTGGAGCAATGTTCAATGTAGTGATTGAGAGCCCAGAATTCCATGGTTTGTCAGTTATGAAGCAACATAGGAAAGTATATGATGCACTCAAAGATCAAATAAAACAAATTCATGGCATCCACCTAGAGACTAAGGCACCCAAATTGTAACAAATGTAGACAAGGAAATGAAGGATGTTTTGTTTAGCTAATTTTATGTTCTCACTTCACCACACAGAAATTGAACAGAGTGGGGAGACTACACAAATAAAATTGTTATTGAATAAATAGATATTTTCATGGATTTATCAGTTCCTTTTTTCACTCATCCTGTTAGCATTTAAACTATTCTAATTGACTCCAACAACTTCTTGACTCACCAACCAGTGACTACTATGAATCAACCACTAAAGGTGATCCTTATATTGTTCAGTTTGTCACTTTCTTAATGGGTGATTCCCATTCATAAACCTGGTGGTCCACTAGTTTTGTCTGATAAAATCATTGTTAGATGAGGTTAGATGGGTCAAGTTTTTATTTATAACTTGTTGAATTTATATCAAAGTCGTCTTCAATGATAAAAGTGACACTGAACATCTTTTCAAATTAACAATTACCTATAGGTAGTATTTCCAGAGTGGTATTTATTTTTCAAAAAATTACAGATGATGGATACACTTCCAATTTATTTATTCATCTTTAAAAATCCAATATGTGTGTTGCTGCAGATTAATGATTTTTGCCACTATGATATATGTTCTCTGAATAAAATGAGATTTTCTGAAATTTTCATTTAATCTATAAGCTCTTTTACTTCACATCCTCTATTTTTTTTTAACAGCAATCAAAAACGAACTACATGTTACATGGAAACAATTTTAAGCACTTTTTCTATTGGGCACCTCTTCAATCTAATGAGTGCTCAACACTTTCAACAAAATTATGAATTTTTGGGAAGAAATCTACTCTCATCCATTTGAACCTCCAACTCTTCATCAGTACTCATTGATGATGGATAAGACTGTCACAAACAATTGTCTTTCCAACCAATGATTCTGCCATTTTCAAAACTGCAGACCTCCTGTGAGAAGTGCACCAGTTTTCCAATTGAATTCAAAACCTGCCACCAGTTTTAGGGATGAAATTCTAATTGAGAGAAATAATGGAAATATCTGATAATGATTTCACTCTGAATGGAAACTTAAAAACAATTGAAATTTGTGATTTGATCAAAATTTCAATAGGAATTGACAATTATTTATTAAATACTGTCTGTAGGTTAATCGAGGAGGTGGTACATTATTCATTTTACTTGGTTCTTTGGGATTTTCTCTCCTCGTTTCTATAAAATAAAAGTATTCGTATTATTTCAATATATTTGTAGAGGGACAAATCAGATGATTTGCCCCAAAATGTCACTGCGTTTAACAAATTTTTCTATCAGGGAGTCTAAAAGAAAAATCCAGTAGCTTGTCAGTGACAATTTGTTTGAAAAAATTTTTGAAGGAAAGAAATATAGATATATTGAAAAAATATCGAATTTGTACTTATCTTTGGACGTTTCGGGACCGATTCTGCTCCCGTTCTCAACATGTAAATGCAAATTATTTTTCTTTGAAATTTTTGCTGCGTATAGTTTGACACTTTTCAATGTCATACTGATGTTGTAGACTAAAATCACTCATTCATATGCCAACATCAGTATGACATTGAAAAGTGTCAAACTATACGCAGCAAAAATTTCAAAGAAAAATAATTTGCATTTACATGTTGAGAACGGGAGCAGAATCGGTCCCGAAACGTCCAAAGATAAGTACAAATTCGATATTTTTTCAATATATCTATATTTCTTTCCTTCAAAAATTTTTTCAAACAAATTGTCACTGACAAGCTACTGGATTTTTCTTTTAGACTCCCTGATAGAAAAATTTGTTAAACGCAGTGACATTTTGGGGCAAATCATCTGATTTGTCCCTCTACAAATATATTGAAATAATACGAATACTTTTATTTTATAGAAACGAGGAGAGAAAATCCCAAAGAACCAAGTAAAATGAATTATTTATTAGTAATACATAGTTCATTTCTTATCTAATTTGAGGAATCCAGATGTATTGGAGAAGTATTTTGCATTCCCTTCATTCACTTTTACTTCAGCTGCCTGTGGATTCACTATTTCCAAACCCTAAAAAAATAGAAATGATTATTAGACCTTTTCATTTACCTAAATGATTTGGTAAGGCTGAGAGCAGCTGAGAGGTAAAGGCAAATGTGGCCATTTTCAGAACCAAATTCTGATTGGGTATCGAGAAAATTGATGTCATTGGCTACTTTTTTGATACCACAATCTTTGATTGGACCACTGTCAACAATCAAATGTCATATGTGTTTATTATTGCACCTTTTTATTTATGTGTTGGAAAAGACCATTTCTTGTGTAAATAATTATAGTTTAATTTGATGAATACGAGTCATTTATATGTGTTGAGACTCAAAAGTCAATTGTGGTGACCTCACAACATGGTCATTTGTCATCTGCATGAAAAGGTCAACATTTTCAAAATCACCGAAGATTTCGAACATGTTCTCAAAATTGAGATTTTATATGAATTATTAAAACATAACTCACTTGTAGAGGGGTGAAAGCAACACTAGAAGCTGTACCAGATATCTGTTTCTTAACAGTTGTGCTGCCGCCCCATATTTGTTGTTTCTGTAAATTCTTCTGCAAGGTTTTGGATATCCTAACTTTAGTCTTTTCATCTACTTGTGGCAGTCTAATTCTCCCAGTCCCAGCTTTTCCTATTGTGCCTCTTGTGTACCCCAAATCTTCTTGGTAAGCATCATCTTCTATCTGTAAATCCAAAAGATCTCAATTTATTATAATCAAGTGTATAGTTCGACTCGCCAAAGAAGACCGGGGACGAAAAGGAGAGGATGAAGACATTCAGTATGCTGTGCTTAGAGTATCCAAACAATTCGGTTTTGCAGATTACGTCGCTTTCATTAGCCACTTTCTGTGTGGGTAGCCCCGGTGCTTCACTGTGCTACACCATCTTACTTCCCCTACCCCTTTGTCATTGTCAAATGACAAGCTATTTTTGGTAATTTTCAACGATTATTTTCTATTTTCATGTATTAGGATGGTTCAACTCACAATATTTATAATATACTCGTCTCCAGAATCAGACATTATCAACATAGATTGCTTATATTTCAATTACCCAAAAGGTAAACAATAAGAGAGCATGCGCAGGTTTGTCCTTTGTGAAAGTTCACTAAAATGCGTTCTATTTGGGAGAAGAGTAGCTCAAGTGCAATAAACACTGGGCTGCTCAGGTGCCTGATATATCAAAAAGAAAGTGGCTATGACAGTGATTTGGTGATTGCAACATTTATATTCGGCCTGGGCTCACATATGGCTCATGTTCTTTCAGCCGGCCATCCTTTACGAACCAGACTATATTTTACTGTATTTTATGTTCATTTTCTTTGTAGTGCATTACCTGTTTGGAGTATTGCAAGGTATTTTTCAAATGATAATATCTAAGTGTTGAGATTGAATGCCAGAATGAATTTTTAGGCATATTAAATTAGGATGAAGATGACGTGAAAAGTTAAGGAATCTTTCCTTAAATTGATGACAAACCATTTCTCTGCAAAATAACCTGAGTACCTGAGTGCTTAAACAAAAAATCAGAAAATTAGACATTTAACAAGATTTATTCATCTTCACCTCATGTAGTTTCTGTGCCCGAAAATATTCATATCGATTTGCTATATCAAAAGAATATTGATTCTTGATGAACCGTGAATCTGGAATCAGACAGACAGAGAATGGGTTTGAATGATTTTGCTATTTAATATTGTGAATTTTAATATTTAAGAAAATCATGAAGCTTTGAGGAGAATAAGGATTGTGATAGGTATTGATATTGAACCTGATTGGGCCAGTGTTTTCAAATAACGAATTGTTTTGCAAAAACTGGCCATTAACTCTTTTCACGTTGACTTGCGTCCGACTATTACGATTTACCTTGTTCCAGAATAGACAATGAACCAATTTCAACCAAATATGTTAAACGTGTGATTAATAATATACACTATATAGTAACATACAACGAATACTTCAATTTATTGATGAATTATGCTGTTACTACTTCAAAAAACACCAATGGAATACCTTTCAGTTTCATGGAACATTCAAACATAGCGTTTAGCGACTAACTCGTTTATCTAGTACTGACGTAAGTAAAATTGCAGCAAATTTTTTATCTTCAATTCACATCGGGAGCGATGCGAGTAAATTTTATGGATGATTCATAATTTGCAAAAAAACTAAATAAATTAATTTTGGTAAGACTCAATCTGAACTCTCTTCATGATGAGTACTTCGCGGTTCTGCCATAAATTCACTCCATTTGTATTGCATATACATGATCATTATCAGTGACTATCACACTCTTGTTCACGAGAACCAATCAGACTCGACCATTTTCATGGTTTCTTCTGTATTACAGCGACATTTTTTGTTTACTATATTTTATCGAACATAGTATACCATCAGGAGGAGGGGGTGTGCGGAGGGAGGAACGACCTGTGACGTCAATGTTTCACCGCCGTGTGTCCGTGTGATTTTAGATTGCGTTTTGGTCACTGTCGAATAGTTTGAAAAACAATTTGAATTTGAATTCGAAAGATTCGCGAATTTTAGACTTCAGTTGAATACATGGTGACAAGAAGACTGAAGATACCTTTGAAAGAGGGTGAGAGGCTGTTTAATAATATGTGCACTTGCTTCTTTCTACCATACACCAGCTGTGAAGATGGTCTCCACATCAATTGGGACAAAGTATAATCATTCAACTTCTCGAATGATATTTCTTGGAAATATACTTTCTACAAATAAGTTGACATTGAACACATAATCAAAATTCACAAAAAAATTGTGTTATTCAGGAAGTACTGTCTATTTTTCGATTGATTTTACGAGGTACTGTTTGCTCTTAAAAAGAGTTGGATATGAAAACAGGAGATGAAAAATTTCAGTTCGAGAATAAGTCATCTAGGTTGCATTGTTGTGCAACTAACAATTTTTTTTTTCGCTCGTTCAGATGCCATTTCGAAGATAATTATTATTTATGAGCAGAAACGCGTAACTACCGATGGTAGAATAAATATTTCAACATGCAGGACCTCGAATGTCAAAACTGGAAATGATAAATCATATAATTATTCAGGAATAATCTTTCCATGCAGGAACATTATTTCAAAGATCATTCATTTCATAATAATTACCCAAACTGATGAAGACAAGTATGAAGCATTAGGAAATCTTTCTACCTTTAGAACAGAAATTCAGTTTGTGAACAGCACACTACACGTTGATTTTTCTCCCATAGTTGTCTCTGTTCATGGCATAATGTGAACAGATAAAAGTCATAGAAAAAAATCAAGTTTAGCAGGTAGAGCTAACACAAACGAACAGGCCTGGATATTTCTGCAGAAACCACGCAAAAAACTGCAACCTAACTCACCCGAAAGATGGAGTTTGATGTTCTGAAGCACTTTCAATAAAAAACGTGATTTTTATAAAATTGTCAGTTACGAGGTACTGCAGTTTGGCCCTCGTTATATCATTTCGTTATCAGATGATGGTCGAAATTTGCAGCCGGCGCTCCTACTATAGGGACCGATGACTACTGGATTTTTGCAAGGAAAGGGTGTATTTTGATATAATAGGCAAAATACTTATATGAAACATAAAAAAGAAGGCGCAATCCTTTTGATATTTTTTGCCGACGTTCCCAAGTCATCCGCACTCATCCGCAATTGTTTGGGCCCAGGGCCGGACTGAATTACTTTACTCAGAAACAACAGAAAATAATGATATCAGTAACCTGAATTATCTTATCTAAATAGGTGTAGGAATGGTTTGTTCTCTTGCCTACTTATAAGCTACTAAGTGATTTATGAAGTCAAATAGAAACAATCAAAAATGTGTATTGTATCATATTTTTATAAGACAGGACTATTATCTCGTTATGTAAAATTCCCGACAAAATAAATTACGCTGCCAATTCAAACTCGTAAAAAATAGGCAATTGTACACTTCATCTTTTTCATCGCAAAAATTAGAGCCCTCCTCATTATCATCTGCCTATAGTCTATACTAACTAGTCATTGTATATCGACTGAATTCGTCCCTGACAAGCAAGCCCTCGATCGAGCCGCTAGTCTATTTGGGCTGTAGGAGAGATATGGACCACTTTGTGGTTTGAAACCAAAATATCCAATATTCATCACAGTTCACGAGTAGCTACGTCAAAGAGTTATATAATCACATTTTCTGTTGTGGATTCAAGAGATGAGTGGACGAAGCAAGCAATTCAACGAGTTGTGACAAAATACTGGAAACATGTGGTGTGAAAACTGGGTAGTTGATTGATAGTAAACACTTATCAGTATTAATTATAACATTTAGATCTATGTTATAATTCATGTGTCGAAATATACAGGGTGTTTCCGAAATTAAAACAATGAATGATGTGGGTAGTAGAAGATTTAAGACGAAACAAAATCAAAGTATGAAAACTAGTACAAAAGTGTTTGGGGAGATATTACATTTTAAAGTTTAACTGGAATGTTTGATAATGTTGAATAATTGATTAGAGGTGAACAGCCAAACACGAGCGTTTGCTTTCATCAAGGTCAGAAGCACTGCAAGTATCAATGACTTTTGCAATATTGATCAACATTGATTACTCAACTAAAATAAAAATATGTGAAGTAACCACCCAATGTGACTCACTTGACAGAATATTATAATGATATGAGTAAGTAGATCGAAACAAGGCCTCAAACTACTTCACTTCGTTACAATTTGTATTGACATCCTCCATGTCAATAGAGAAAACATCCTTTCTAGGTCCTAGGAGTTAAATTTCAACTTCAGTTCCAAGGAACTAATAGTGTGGCCTAGCAACATAGGTAAATATTTGTATGCACCGGGCGTGAAGTAGCACTTTATCGCCCGGATTTACGGGCGTAAAGTAACACTTAACGCACTAGGGCGAAAAAAGAATACAGCGGGCAATAAAGTTTTCCAGTGGGCGGTGAAGTTGATGAACATAAAGTAAAGTGATTTCACTGTTTCTAACAGTAATATCTAGTAGAGTGCCATTAGATGTTTCTTCGCCAGTAACATATACAATTTGGCGAAATGAATTCAGAATCATTGAAAAATTCCATTATGACGTTCAATAAATGACTAAAACGGTCGCGCATAAAATGTTGTATGTATTTCGGGCATAACTTGCTTTAATGGACCTAGGCGTATCAATATCTTACTTACATGCTGTGGTCCATAAAAGCCTACTTAAGCCCTCGATACATAAATTTTGGAATTAAAATTGACGAATTATGAGTGGGTTGCATAAAATCGGTATTTTTTTTGCTACTGGTGAAAAAATCGCAGAATTATCAAACTTGATTGATGGGAGATGCACTTTTTTTTTTAATTCAAAGGAGAAAGTTTATGAATTAGTTGAGAATTGGGATTATTATCAGTATATTCTTTGGTGAAATTGTGAAAGTAAAAATATACCTACCTAAAAATAAGAAATGTCAAAAGGTTTTTCCCTATCTCCCCTACACAAGAGAAGAGAAATGAGCACGTGTGGCTCATCAAAGAGACCCGCCTGACATGAAAATCACCTCGTTATTAATGTTGTATTTTTTATGTTTCTTATATCTATTTGTTGGACTATACCGCCTGCCAGGATTACTATTCTATTGATCCACTCACATCGGCAAAGTTCATCCTGTTAGCGTGCTTCCGGAACTCCGTCATGGCGTACCGCTCCTTCGTCTTGCGCACGCGCTTCCCCCCGCGCTTCTTCTTCGACTGGTCGATCGGCTTCGGCAGCGGCCGCACGAACTTGACGGGCGGCGGTTCCTGCAGCTTGTCCAGCTTCCTTTCGATCTCGTCGCGCAGCTGCCGCCCCACGCGGCCGTCGGCGCTTTCGTGGCAGGCGTCGACGCGCGCCGCCAGAGTGCACTTGGTTGCCACCAGGCGGGCGGCTTTGCGACGCATGTCCTGCAACGCACCTCAGACTGAACAGCAATAGATAGACACCGTGATTCATTTATAAATCATTGAGAAGTATAAACATCCAACAGGGATGAATGAATGGAAGATTCATTAATAAATCATTGGAAAGTATAAACGCCTAAAGCGGCGTTCACAACCAAACTTTTTACGTTTTGCTTTTTACGTTTCGTATTCTGCAAAAAGCAGAAAATATTCAGCTTTTTGCGTTGCAAGAAGCCATCGTCTGTGAAAATAGTAAAAATAGACGAATAATATGAAACATTCTGTAATAATATGGAAGTTATGATAATGTTTTCATGATTTTTTCGTGAATCCACAGAATAGTATAGATAGGTATACTGTTCAATTCATTATTTTCTTGTTGAAGGTTGATTTTTCTCTTCAAGTATTGAATAAGGATCAATTTTCATCACCGCCAGTTCTATCAATTCAATATTATTAATTATCTGATCAATATTATTGTTATGATTATTTACTTCATTTCAGGATGAAAAACAAATAACAAAACCAAGGCAACTGAGTCATAAAAAGTCACGATTTTTTGTTGTTGTGAATGACATTTGCTCACGTTTAATATCAGATTCTGCTTCACCAATCAGAATACGAAACGTAAAAAACAAAACGTAAAAAGTTTGGTTGTGAACCCCGCTTTACAGGGATGAATGAATGGAAGATTCATTAATAAATCATTGGAAAGTATAAACGCCTAACAGGGATGAATGAATGGAAGATTCATTTATAAATCATTGGAAAGTATAAACGCCTAACAGGGATGAATGAATGGAAGATTCAGCTGCTGTTTCAGGAATAGGGTTAAAATAATTAATTTTCAGAAAATTTTTATTCACTACTGCAGAGGTAATTTTGACTAGGAAACATTCAACAAAACATAGGATTGGTATATATTTCAAGTTTCAACTCTTGAATTCGTCAATTTATTGTAGGCAAAAACATGTATTAGAACTTTTGTATGTATACAGGGTGATCCACGGTGGATGGCCTATTAGAAGTATCTGGAGAACGAAAAGATAGAGCATTCTGAAAATTGGGATGCTCTGATAATTGAACATTCTCTTCCTCTTCCAGAAGAGCTAATTTTTAAGATTTTTAAGCAGGAATGATTTCAGAGATATAGGATGTTCCAAATCCAGATTTTTCAATTTTAGGATTTTTTTGTGTCGAAACTATATTCATTATCCATCAAAACGGCTCATATGCCTCTATCTCAATTTTGATTCACTATCTAGTGGAATTTAATAGAAAAAAATACAGGGTGCCTCAAGATTCAGAATTCTGATCACCCTGTATCTGTTCCAATTGAATGTCAGTAGATAGTGAATCGAAAGTTACGAAAGAGACATGTAAGCCGTTTTGATCGATAATAATCCTAAAATCCTAAAATTGAAAAATCTCGATTTTGAACACCCTATATCTCTGTAATCATTCCTGCTAGTCCCCAAGTGTGACACATTGATGGAATCAGCTCTTCAGGAAGAATCTAAAAATGCAATTAAATACAGGGTGCTCCATTTGAAATAACGAAGTTGCTAGTTGTTGCTGATAGAAGTGGCAACACTGTATGGATGAAAATATTTTAGTCGGATAGAGAATTAATGTGCTGCGTTAGGCTGTAAACTTGGTAAATACATCAGCAAAATATTCGAGGTAAAACTAATACGAAATCACATATTATACTTTCTCATTGTGTCTATAATTATCCACTCCACAAGTTTTTGAATGCATTTTAGTAAAAACAATTTTGATTAAAACGGAGGATGAAAAGAAGAGGCATATGTCCTACCATTTAAAAAATTATACCTACATTCAGGAAATATTAGGTGTTCGTGAAAAACTGGAAAAATGATTCCCAACATGAATATATACAGCATACATGACATATGAGCACATTAGTTCAAATACCTACACACAATTTTTCACCATTACTCAACCATGAGACTTAGTCTGAAATCAAAATTCTTTTATTGATAGGTACTACCTAACAACAGTCGTTCTATTTGGCAAAACGTATTAAACTTTTGGAAAAATTTCCTCCATGCCTCACAAAGATTATGCTGAAGTTGAAAAATCAAAAACTCGTAAATTATCATCATTTAGAAATAATATGTAGATTTGTGAGGAATTACATGTGGAAATTACGTATGATACGCCAATGTCCTCAATGTAACCTAAAAAACAAAAATGTCAGATAGTCCCCAGAAATGAATAAAGATGGAACTATATAACTATTTCACAAACACTTTAGAGTGAGAGGAGACGAGGATCTGTCTGTACCCTTTTGAGATGACAAATACGTCAATTCAAATCAAGGGTCCCTAGCGTAGAAAAATTGACACGAGACTGACTGATGTGAACTGTATGCTTGACCGATTCAATACTTTTATTTTTCTTGTTAAAATATGTACAATATATGTGTGTATAAGTAAAGTTCTATGTATAACATGTAAATAAAATAACGAGGACGAAACAATAAGAACAAGTTAAAATCCCCTGGGAATTCCTCCCGGCACCCAGAGGTTGGCCACGAATGGTCCAGGGGGGTTGAACTTTACACAACGCACATGTTGGGAATGACGAGGAAGCTATGTCCTAGGACAGGGTCCTTTTCATAGCCAATGTCAGCGAGTTGTTTAGGGCGAGCGAGAATTCAAATGTTCGGATTGCTGATATCATGATCTCTCTAATTTATCGTTAATAATTGATGCTTAGTGAAAAATAAAAGCAAAAACCACTATTCCGATAGATCCAATGGGCTTCTACCATGGAGTGGGGGAGGGGGAGGGGTTGGGGGTGGTTTGCGGATGGTTTAGGAGGAAGATGTAGGATTAACAGACTAATCTAATGCATGTCGGAAAAAATTCGGAGCAAGTCCGAGTGTGTATCAAAAGATGGTGCTGAGGGTATTGCATACTCCGCCCTGTTGGGCTGGATAAAGTCGCAGGTCGGTAGGTCGGTCTCAGGACGGTCAGTCCTCGGGCCGCCCGGACGACTTGCGAGATTTGGATTATTCATTTTATGTGAGGTGTTGGGATATTGTGAGCAATCAGTCTATAGGGATGATTGGGAGGGTGGGAAAATTATTCCGGGGGTTCCCGGAAAACATCGCAGGCTTCATAAATCAGCCCATGCTTTCTGCGCGGGCCATGGTCTGCCTTGACTGATGTAATATTGTTCGTTAATTCGCTATTGCGTATATGGTGTGTATAGAATTTATTGGCAAGTTTGAGAATATACTCTTTGATGTGAGGCAGATCATGGCACTGTGAGTGTAGGTCTGCCACTCGAGTGTATCTATTACCATTGGTAATGATACGGAGTATCTTATTCTGTAGTATTTGTAGCCTGCTCATATGAGCATGCGAAATACTACAGAACACCAGGCAGGCGTATGTAAGCGTAGGTCGAATTATTTGTTTATAAATCAGGAGCTTGTTGTCCAGTGTTAGCGTGCATGCTTGACCGAAACAAGTTTCTCTGAAAAAATATTTTTTGTCACTTATGGATGAATCAATTCAGTCTCATCACATTATTTTTTTTTCTAATGGACCCCTATGGGTCACCTATATGTCTCTCTAGAACAAACATTGAGGAAAAAAAATGACATATCATTTTTGTATTTCGGTGCAGTAACAAATTTTGTACATTCAAAAATCAACAACAAATTCATGAATCTCCTTGCAGTTCGGATAATTTTTCAACTAAGTAAGCTGTGGAAAACAACAATCTAGTCAACTAATCCTGTTCTCTAATCTCTGTTGTGTGCGACTCATTGTGAATAGCCTTCATGAGTACGTAATTGCTTTACAACACGCATTATGTACTATACTTTACCTACTGCCATATAGTACATCAAAAAAGTTTGGACTAACAGTCTGAATTATAATTCTTGACAGTTATGTCATCCGCTGTTGACGGCGATTACGCGATCATGAAATAACCTATACTGGCGGAATAAATGAACACTGTGCGATGTGCTTACTGTGCGTAAAGAGCTACTTACTGGGGCTGTATCTCGTGTGTTCTTGCCAGGGTTGGCATGAATTAATTCATATGAATTAAATCAGTGATTTAATTCTTGAATTAATTCCATTGACTTTTTTCGAAAAAGTCATGAATTCATTCAAATTTTTAAAAATGAGACAAATTGCACTATTACCTTTGATTTTAACTAGTTTAAACTGAGAAATTCGATCGTATTTTGGCAAGACTTTGTTATTTCAAGCATGACAGAGATTTTTACTAACAGATATATACAGTATGAAGTATCATCCATAAAGTCCATATCTATATGTATCTATTATTTTGTATTCTATCATCACTTTTAAATTTGTTTTGAAAAAATGACATGTTATATTATGATGTTATTCTACAAGATTCCTGAAGGGAATAAAAACATAGTTTTTTTGTTTCTTTATTTCTATTTCGCTTTGGGTAAATGAAATTTGTTTGTTTTTTTTTTCAAATGAATTAATTCAAAAAAGTCTGACTTAATTCAAAAAGTCGGACTTTGATGACTTTTTTATAACAGTCATGACTTATTCCAACCCTGGTTCTTGCCTACTTTCTATAGTGGCCGTAGGTAAAATATAAAAACAATTTTAATTTTTTCGAAAAAATTACATTTGACATTTAGATTGCATTTCTTTTGACCTGTTGAAATTGAATATCTAAAAAATATACAGGGTGTTCCATTGGAAAAAACAAAGTTGCTGGCAATTCCAGAAAAACCGGAAGTCCCGTGGATTGTGATGCGCTCAAATGTGAAATGGTTGCTTGTATAACTGTACAAAATTTCAAAAAAATCCGTTTATAAATGCAGTTGGTGGCCCCATATCCTGAGTCACCCGGTAGATCTAATAAATCGGAGCTTTTATAAAAGTGTGTATGTGCAACAATAAATTAATTCTCAGGCATTGCTACATTTTTATACGTCCTTTTGTAACATTTGAGTGAGCTTATTTGATTTATTAAATATTATGAACAGGCTTTTCATCAAAAAAAGCATGCCAACACCACCACTGTATGTACCTGTGAAATATCTAGTTAGGATATTTGTAATTATCTTTTCTCTGAAGATTGGACAATGACAATGAACCATATTTATTCACAAAATAGTATACTTTGAATTTATAATACTAAATGAGATATTGAAAAACCAAATTCTGATGACACAACAACCAGAGAACTATCAATAACATCAAAAAATTACATTTCTCACTACTACAGAGATGAAGAGAAACAAGGTCCGGGACCCCTTCTCCTCGCCCTGATCTAAATCCGACTTTTTTTTTGTTGAAAAAAACATTTGAAGTAGCATTCTTTCATTTCTTCCTCCTACCGAAAAAAAATCCTAGGCACGGCCTTGAAGGGAAATATATACATCCTTGTGACATGGTGCTTGTGAGATATTTTATGTTGTTTAATGTAATACATGTTTCCTCTCCTCTACAAAAAATGACATTTTAAAGTACTAACTTCCCAATGAAAAATCAAAAATCTTCAATTTTTGAAGAAAAATGTTTTTCTTCCACAGACACAGAACTATTCATTGTACCAGTATTTCACTGAAGAAGCTAGTGTGTTAGTGAATCATGTTGGGTATGTGATTAAGAATTTTGTGCACTTTTTTCATTAGCAGTGATTGAGTTGACAAAAGATGTAATTTGCTGTTGTCAAATTGATTATTCATTGAATCAAATTGATTTCATATTATGTAAATAAGATCTTGGAATGAATATAAGTGTTCAAGGTCAACAAAAAAATGTAATATGTTCAGTGTGGAACTGTCTATTGCCTGATTGCCAGCCTCAGCTGGGCATTGGCTATTAATTCACAGGCTCCACTACAATAGACAGTTTTTCATCCTTGGTACATAAATAACTAGTTCATAAGATTTTGATGCTCTGGATGGTTCCTTAACAAATCTAAAAATCCTGGCTTCCATGTATTATATTTCTGATCATTGTTGAGATGATGAGATGATCAAGATAATTGTTAGAAAAATAATGAAATCTTACAAAATGAATGTTAAAAATAAGTTTTACTTGTTTAACCCCTCCTAGGGTGTTTTGATTGAATTCTATGGCTTAAAAAGATTTGACATTACTTACTGGTGGAGTATTTTGCACAATTTCTGAATAAAACACAAATCCTGTATGGGGTAACATAGTTGTCTGGGAAAAGCCTGATAAAGATTTCTTTTGCTGACCAAGCAGTAAAACATTACAAGCTGGTATTTTGGAAAGCCTTGTTAATCCTCCTGCTATGCCAAGAATCTTTGCTGCTATTGAAGCACCCAGAATAACAGAAATGTTGGGAGCTATGAATGCCATTCTGCTTTCAACATACTCATATATTTGAAGCTTGAAGTTGTTGAGATCCATGGCCATATCACATGCTTCATCAATTTGTTCTTTTTCATATTTTGTCAGCAAAGTGCTGGAATGAAAAAAACAAAAACTAGGTATGCAATTTATTTCATTATAGAGTAACATCCAATCATGTATATTATTATGCATATACAAAATCTATATTAATAAAATGATGTGAGGAATCAGGTGTTCTACAAATCCCAATTTTTCATGATCATGGAATTTTATTGCATACCATCAGTCAACAAATTTGTGCTATTTAATCTTCTTGTTCTGGAAATTTGTCAAGGAATTTGTGAAAAATTTCAGAATATTCAGAAAATTTTACATTTATTCTGACTTGAGTTTTCAGTACTGCAACTACCCATCTCTCAAATTTATTGATAAGATCTTCAATCAAATCACCAACCCAGAACATGGGAATTACAGTACAAGGGTAATGGAGAGGCCATATAAAAAATTAACATAATATAGGTAGGTATTTATGAATAGATAATTGAGTTTTTCTGTTAAAATCAAGAAGTTCCATATTGAAATCTTAGCTGAGAGCCTACCAATTCAACTTACCCTTGAGTTGTAGAAGCAGTTACAGAAACAACCATTATGGTGGCTTGAGTCAAAAATTGTTGTAGTACCTCATTATTCTTAGCTTGGTCCAAATCATTACCAAGTTCCTTTACAGTACGAACATATTCCAATGGACTGACTACCAATGAATCAAGCTCAGGAAACCTTTTCTGATATTTGTCACGTACAAACTTATGAACAGTAACTGGAACAAGAAATATACTCAGCAATAACCGGTTGGCAATAAAATTAGCATGAGAACCAAAAGTTGAAACTTCTGTTCAAAAGACCCAAACCTACCAATTTCATTATCTACATCTTGAGCTATGTTATTTGCTTCAACTATCAATTGATATTCAGGATCAGATTCCACTGGTCCAACAATATCAACTGCTCTTCTGAGTTTTGAGACATATTTATTTATTTCAGTTATGATTTTCATAAGCTTTTCTGAATCTCTGAGTTTGCAAAGTTCCCGTACTGAATGTATTTGTGTTGTATCTTGTTCCAATAATATTTCTTTGATGTCTGGTTTTTCATCCTCCTCTTCAACTTCATTTTCCGCTTCCATTGGTTCGTCAAGCTCATCATGATCATTTTCTTCTAGATCTGCTAGTAACTCGTCGGCTAAAGACATTTTTGTGAAACTACAACTATCTCAAACCAAAGCTAAACTACAAACAAATGCTGAAATATTTTATTTGTTTTCTGAGATTTCTGATTTCTTCTAAAAAAGTTAGGTTAGGCTAAGAGCGTAAGCGTTTTCTTCTTATTCTTCTTTTATAGTCATGTTTTTCTAACTAATGGCCAAGTGCCTGAATATGAAATCAATGTAAGAGTACAATCGTGCTATGGCGGCTAGACTCTAGTAATCCATCCATACTCCACTCCATAGCCATTAGCCCCATTAGCCATAGCCGTCGGCAGAGAATTCAGAGACAGAGATAAGTTACCCACGGGTTTGATGGTTTGCCCACGGGTAACTTATCTCTGCCGTCGGCAACGTCGGCTCAAAATATCACAAGAATCCGTTTTGCCCAAATTAGCCCAAATGGCCAAATATATGCATATGCGATTCCTATATTGATTCCTATAGACCAATCAGAGCGATTTGGGCAATGGCGGTAAGTTCAAATCACTGATATCACTTCTGCATAGGAAAGGAGACGACTTTTTTCAAACATTCTAACAAATTTCCCTTAGCCTAAATGAACGTTGTCACTAAATAGTTATTTGTTTTACTAGGCAGGAAAGTACAAGATGCGGCTGGCGTTTAAACATAGCCTAGGCGTAGCCGAGACTACGAAACAATAGGGTCCCTTCAGGGAAATTGACGTTAAAGTCATCTTAATGACAAATACGTCAGTTTGCGATCTTTCACTTTTCTATCGATACTTCCACGGGAAATGTTCTTCGGAAATCTCTGCTATCATCCCTTCACTAGCAATACCAGTCCGACGAACTAGACAAGCCCTGCCAGCACATCCTTTCGTTGTCAACCTCGAAAGATGTCGAACCGCCCTTTATCAAAACTCCTTCATCCATAGAACGGCTAGACTGTGGAATTCATTGCCTGAGGAAGTATTCCCAACAACATAATATAATCTCCAGAAGTTCAAAAAAAATCCAATACCTACCTCCTATCCCTATCCTCCCTCTAGGAACGCACGATGTTCTTTGAAGACGAGACAGGCAGATAAACAACAATTTTCTCTGCAATGAAGAACACTGTATATACCTAACCCACCATGCGTCTACCTCTTTTGCAGAGAGGGTTTATAAACGCCGAGTTGATACTCTCCCCTCGTAAGGGTACCTGTCGTGTGTCCATAGAGACATAAAGGTGAATATCTGTCTCATCTGTTTTCATGAGAATCTGGAAAGGATATCAAATAATATATCGCTTTCCGTACGAATATAAGGATCTGAATTTTGTAAAGTATTCTCTGACCATTTTTCTTTGCGGATTCTTTGTTTGATTCGTCGTGACTGGATGGTTTTTCCTGACTCAGTGACAAGTATCAACACTTTGCTTCTCAGATCTGCAAATAAACATATGACATCAAATATTGAAGTCCATAAAAATCAATACTGATTTTCATGAGAGGCGGAACATGGATGTTGAATCTGAAACATACCTGAATAACATTTCCAATACATTCGTAACTGGAACGCGATATATTTTTGTAATTCATCAATTCATCAACTATCTCAATGAAGACGAGGCAGGCAGATAAACAACACCTTTCTCTACAATGATACTGCAATACTGCAAAAATAATCTTTCCTTTCCACTCATGAGGCAACGTTGTCAAGTCACCAATTATAATCAATTTATCATAAATATTATAGAGTCCTGTCGTTGGATGAAACACGAGATAAAACATAATAAGAGTAAGCCATGATATTAATGGATCATTCTTGACTTTTTCGAGCAACCAGCATATGTCTGTAGGTATATCTCTTGTACCCTATAACAAAATATCATGTTGATGTTGAAGACTTGGCAACAATGTGCTGAATGCTGAGAACTGACAAGGCACCGCCCACAATTCGTGCGCCGGGTTGTCACGTTTAACCTCAAATATCCTCTGGTGTGAATTAATATAACAATATTAATATTAACACAAATGCCCTAATAACACAAGTTAGTCCAATGGACATCCATTGGACAGACTCGTCTAGACAATCTATATCCAATGTACAACTAGAATGCGTACACGGGACTGCATTTGGACATCCATGGGACATTCATGCACTTTCCACCTTTTTGGACATCCATATATCATAGGAATTCCCAAACGGACATCTAATGGATGTCCATACCGTACATCCATAGGACATTATCACTGTACATCCATTATTGGATATCTAGTATACAAAATGTACATTAATTTGCACTAAATATTATGTATAGATAGGCACTCAATTTCAGACCGCAGTTCTAATGTTGAAATCCTTAGACATCTTCATCAACACGTCCGCAATGGAATAATGGCCTTCATGCACTTGAATGAATAAGTGACTCATGTGTTCTTCGATCTAATGAAATAGGATCACAAAACTACGAAGGCCTGGAAGGGACACATAAAATAAACAAAAACTCTTCAAAATTCTGAGTTACTCGGAATTTTAAAATTCCGAGTTATAACTCGGAATTTTACATCAAAATTCCGACTTATATCTCGGAATTTTAAAATTCCGTGTTATAACTCGAAATATTGGATGTAAAATTCCGAGTTATAACTCGGAATTTTACATCAAAATTCCGACTTATATCTCGGAATTTTAAAATTCCGTGTTATAACTCGGAATATTGGATGTAAAATTCCGAGTTATAACTCGGAATTTTAAAATTCCGAATTATAACTCAGAATATTGGATGTAAAATTCCGACTTATATCTCGGAATTTTAAAATTCCGACTTATAACTCGGAATTTCAAAATTCCGTCTTATAACTCGGAATTTTAAAATTCCGAGTTATAACTCGGAATTATACATCAAAATTCCGACTTATATCTCGGAATTTTACATCCAATATTCCGAGTTATAACACGGAATTTTAAAATTCCGAGTTATAAGTCGGAATTTTGAAGAGTTTTTATTTTTTTATTTTATGTGTCCCTTCCAGGGCTTCGTAGTGCATCGATGTTCAACAACAAAACAAAAATGGCAGACGGCATCACACATCACCAATGAACTGTACATCACACGGCTCTGGCTAACCCTGTGCACAGCTGTCGCCAGCGAAGGAGCCGAACGATCTCGATGATACCCGAGACGAAAAAGCAACAATGTACATCATATGGACTGTGTATGGACTACTGCAAATTGATGTCCATTGGACATTATCTTATATGGACATGAGTTGGACGTTGTGTTGAGGAACATTATCAGAAAGGACATGAAATGGACACTATATGAATTACTTTTCCTGGACATCCATAGGATTGCTGCCTGTGGACATCCTATGGATGTCCAGAATGTGTCCATGATGGACACCTTGGACATATAATGGACGCAAAACGGATGTCCAATGGACATCTTGTGTTATTAGGGTGTATTATAAAAAATAAGCCACAACAGATGAGGGAATATTTCGAGACAATTGATTTTTATGTCTGATTAGGAATATAACCAATACAAAATTGAGAATTAATGAACCATTGAATAACTAATATTTCCAATCGTATTTCAACATATGGCAACTGTGCTATGGTATGTCCCTACTCAAGAAATCGTGACGTCAGTATTTACTCGCGGTAAATTTTTAGCCGTTTGAAAATTCTCGTGGCATTATTGTTGATCTCGGCACCTCAAAACCGAATGAAGAATTCTAAAAATATATGCAATTGAAAGTTATTTGAGTGATGATTCTATTTGAGAAATAAAAAAAATTAGTCAACCCGCCTATTTCATTTTTGTGGATGGTTCCATGGCTGTTGGCAAGCAGTGTATATCACTAAAGATGACTCCACTTGGTCATAGTGGGTACTTTCAGTATACAAGGTGATTCTAAAATAGGTGGTCAAACTTTGGGAGTATATAGAGTGAGTTAAATACGAAATCCTCGATAACATTTTTTTTCTGAAGTGCCCCCCTAGAAAGATACAGCCCCTCAAAGGGGGGCCTCAGAAAATGATTTTCTTGTATGATGAAAATCAAAAATTTTGTTTATCCACTTAGAATGGAGTTAAAATCACCTCAAAATTGAATACAGGGGTGTGTCAAAATAGGGAGGTAGGGGGTAAAGATGACCCCAACTTTCTTGTTCATCGCAATTCCAGTTCATTGCGAGAAGTTAGGAATCAAGAAAACAAGAACAACTCCATTGCATCCACAGTCAGATGGCATGGTGGAGCGAATGAACCGAACCATACGGAGGTATCTCTGCAAAGTCGTAGATCAACACCAATAAGACTGGGATCAACATCTTCCTTTCTTCTTGATTGCCTACAGATCTGCAGTACAGGAATCTACAGGACAGACTCCGGCGAAGGTTCTATTTGGACGAGAGATGAGGCTTCCACGTGACTTGGTCTTCGGATGTAGACCTGGTGAGTGAAGTGACTCTCAATTTTTGTTTCTCTCAGTTGGAGCTTCCCTGAACGAATTGGAGATCATAAAATTTTCGAATTTTTATTTTTCGAAATGGCTGAGATAATTCATTGGAACAGGTATACTGGGACACCCGTTATATCATTTTGAAAGGGAAAATTCCATTTAAAAATCATATATTTGAGTGTGCCACTAGATTCTGCGTGAAATTCTATATGGGCTAAGATTTCATTTTTTCATATTCGCTGAGACTTCGTAGATATAGATTCTGCCGTCCTAAGCAAAACCCCCGTAACCAACAAATTCACGGAAATTCAGATTTTTGGCGCATTGGTTGCATGGCAACTAATACTTGACTTATACTAAGCGAAAACCCGATATTCATATTGCAAATCAGTAATTTTCGTCATTTTAATTTCCCGTATCTAGCCAAATAAGGCACTCCTGCTAAGCAAAAACCCACACCGTACTAAACGAGAACACCGCATCTGCGTATGTGGCGCGTGCAGATACGTGGTTTTCGCCTAGCAACATGGTTTCAATTTCTTACAGTATGCGAAATATGTATGTACAATTCTCAGCGAAAACATCGCATCTGCTTTTTTA